TCGCAACTCCAGATGCGTATCCTTCCATGCTGGCTTCGAAAACGTAGCGGCCCGCCGCGGTTGATGCCGTGTGGGTTCCGTGACCGTCAGCGTCCCGTGGCGAACGGAACTCGAAGGTTTCGTTAACGGACGTGCCACTTGCCTCGTGACCTTTGGAGAAGAACCGTGCACCGATTAACTTCCTGTTACAGTTATCCGGAGAGAATCTTACACCTGTCTCGCAAACTCCTTTCCAGCGTTTCGGTATGGGGCCCAGGTTGGAATCGCTGAAGCTCCGGCGTTCCGGCCAGATTCCGGTGTCGAAGACTCCGATGATGACATCGGATCCGTAGTCAGTTTCGAACCACAGACCACGCTGGTTTCTGAGGCCAACGAACTGAGGAGAGCGCGTGGTGTGAAGGTCGCGGCGGCTGTCCTCGAAGACAGCGAGCACGGAGGGGTGCTGGCCAATAGAAGCGACTTCTTGGGGGGTGAGCACCGCCGAGAAGCCGTGGAAGACGGTGTCGTAGAGATGGAGAATGCGAGTTGGGTGGGCGAACTCGGAGGTGTACCAGTGGTAGTGTGTGGGGAAAACGGAGGGTTTGGATTCGGAATCGATCCTGAAGATGAATGTTTTGGAAAGTTCATAGTGTGCTTTGATTTGAGAAAGAAAAGTGAAAAGAAGGATGAAGAAAGTGCGGGAAAGCAACGTTGAAGTTGGAGGATTCATCCTTGTGCTACCCATTTCCTTATGCTCCTTTCGATGACTCCAGTGAATGAGGAGTGATATAAATATTCTCCATAAATATCTTCACCTCTCTTTCTTCTACGTCCTATCTTACTTTTCATTTAACTATTATTCTCTTCTGTTTCCCTCACTCTTTTTCTCCCATTTCCACACTCTTTCTTTTATTCAACGACTTCCACATTCTAAATTCTGGTGTACGCTTCTCCATTATAACACTATGTACGCACTCAGACATGGCCACACAATTCATTACTAATGTGAAGGTTCATGATCACTTTCTGTGCTTTCAACTGTTTCACAACATTGGATAATATACATTCTATTCAAAGCACTGGCATGGGATTCCCTAATTATTCTTATTCTTTAACTATTCTAGTAGGCCATCGGCTAAATTTTTAAAAAAATTCAAATACGTACTTTTTTTTTTAAATTGTCATGATAATTAGGATAAAGTTTTAATTTTTATTTAACAATTACCCTAATAATTACACACTACCTCCGTTTTCACTTATAGAAAAAATAAAAATCAAACATTTTTTTCAAACATAAACATTCTTTTTAATGTATTCAATATGTTATCTTGAATTCTTTGCTTTGGTGAATGAAAACCATGTCATGAATGTGGCATGAGTTATCTTCTGAGTATCCCAGGTAGTTGATGCATGGTCAAAATAATGTTTTATCCTCATATTACAATAAGTGCCATGTAATTTTCACCTCTCATCTACTCCCAGAAATAAGTTGTGGCCCCCTAATCATCATTGCGCTTTATCCAACCACTATCCTTTTACAAAGATGACGGTATAGATTTTATTCAACTTAATATACACATCATAGGCTTAATAGTATGATGTAGATCATCTATTATGGAAGCAATCTTTTTTGGTATAAATAATTCAATTTAAATAGATAACATTGTTTAGCCATACGTATCAATGATCCTTCTTAGTAACGTTTAAGTCATTTATTAGATACTTGTTAAATTATGATTTTGTAAGCACTATTTATCTTTTATACGTTAAAACTATTTATAGTAAAGTAAGGATGGTTAGACGTATTATTTATCTTTTATTTGTTAAACTATCTATTTTTAATACTATCTTCATCCAAATTTATATATAATTTCAGTAAATTTTATTTACTCATTCAACAATTCAGTACTAATAATTTTAACATTTTTTTCAAATTATTTTTACGTTGAATTAACGGATATTTTAACCTATTTTAAAATAATATTCAAAATATATTTATGAAATTCCAATTATATTACGAAATATATATAATTATATATATATACCTTGTAATCTCCATATAAATTATAACTTATGAGTTAATTCGATTTATATTTAATTTTTTTTCCTCCGATGATTTAGTAATCATAATTTATATTGTATTTCTTTTTCTTTATTTCATATTATAGTATTTATTGTATCAATCATATTACAGTATTTCAGTTATTATAATATTTTAGTCGTGGTGTTATCATATCATGTCCTTGTGTTTCAATTCCTTGTTTAATCATATTTATTAAAAAAAATTAATAAAATAACTTATGTAATCCAACAAACCGTAATAAGTTGAATATCGTGAAACTTCTGACCAAATTATAAAATAAACAGGTTAAAATTACCTATTTTTAGCTCAAATGCATTGAGTGGGTTGTTTCCTTATAAACCCACATTCAGTTTAACTTATATAGATACAAAATAATATAAATATATTTTATTTTTTCTGATTTAACCCATTTTTACGAGCATTTTTAAGGTGTTGGCCAACACATAAGGTGTATAACTTATTTCATAAAGATTGTTTCAGGGAGTGGAAAGATGATTTTGTTTAAAAAAGTGAAGCATGATGTGCGGAGATGGACGGTGCAGATTGGAGGAAGACGGCGATCACGGCGGAGGTTCTGTAAAAGTGTTCTTGGGTTGTTGAATGGTGATGTCATGCCATGCTTACTTCTGTGCTGGAAAGTTTGCATTGTCCGTAGTTGGATAGATAGGCTTTTACGAGGACATGATAATTATCACTTCCACATCATCCAAATGTTTTGCATTTTTTAATATTAATTTTTTCCACTATTTTTTTCAATAAATAAACATTCGATGGTCTTATCATCATTAAACTACTATTTTTATTTTAATATTGATTAATATTAGGATGATATACATGTCAATTTGTAAAATAGTAATTTAATATTTTCACATTAGGGCATAGATTATTTTCTTGATGTACTACTGAGTTCTTAACTAACGTTAAAGTTTTGAAATAAATCAGAATTTTTTTTTATATATAAAAACTCCCACCTTATAGTTATAATACTTTCTTTACTGAAGCATGAAATGTGGAAAAATGTATCCCTAAAGAAATAAAAGGTTTAGCGAAAAAAAAGAAGAAAGAAAAGAGTATTTGATTTCTGAAAAAAAAAAAAAAAGACGCAACAGCTTTTGCTGGATTAGATAAAGACCTTACTATCAACACCCCTCATTTACTATTTACACTTTCATCTTTTCACTTTTAACTTCTACGAAATATATTTGCCAAAAACAAGTTTTCAAAAATAAATTATTGCAATTAAAATGTATTTCTGATGTATATATAAATATACATTTCTTTTAATAACAAAACAGGATGCGTGAATTCAAAATACATGATGGAAATAAAAATTGTCATGTTAACGTTTAGATTAAAATAATATAACAAAATCTTGTTTTTTAATGTATTACATTTCTTTAAATCTTAAATTCATGTTTTTTTGCTTCAAATCTAATTTAAAAACATTGATAAATATCATTAATATCAATTAATAATTTAAGTTACGTAGTATATTTTTAAATAATACCCACACAAATATAAATGAATTGAGGATGTTAGAAGAGAAAAACATTTATAAGAAAAGCTTACACATAATATTCATGTTACCAATGTGATGACTGGATGATATAGTTCAAATTGATAAAATGTTGTATTTAATACATAACTATTATTTAATGAAAAAAAGAAAAATATTTATTTTTTATATTTAAAATTTATAATAAATTTAATTTTTAAGTATATTATAAAATATTATTGTTGAAAAATTACAAATTAAAAATAATTTATTTATAAATTAATTTGTAAAAAAATATAATTTATTTAATTGCCTATTTTTAACTTGCGTATAATAATTTAATTTATTACGAGGAAGCTACTGCATGCTTTTAATTTACTTTTCGTACTAGTAGTTTTATTAAATTAATTCTAACAGGTTAAGGATAAAAACGGAGATAAAGTAGTTTTTAAGAAAAAAATAGTTATTACAAAATCCAGAAAGTATAATAAAAATATTCACCACATATAAGGAGAAAAATATAATTAAATTAACTAAACACTAACAATTAATGTGACATTTATGCCACATCTGCAAATTGGACGCATAGAATTATAGAGATGAACACAAAGTTTTGATGTGAACAACTTTTGATTGTTTATTATTTTGACTTGGTTGTTTTTTTCCTTGTCCATACAAACTTAAAGATAAAAAACCAAACAATTTTAAAATTTTCATTTTCATTTGAAAATGAATTTGCTTTTTAGCCTTGGGAATAGAATATACTCATCTTCCTCTTCAAGACATCTTTATTTTTTTAGGACAAATTTTAACTCAACAACGCACGATATGATATTTTGCCTTCCTCCATCACTTCCCATTGCATTATTAATAAATCATGTCTGAGGGAATGTATAGTGCTACGTTTTTATTTAAATGGAAATTTTGTGTAAAATAAAAAAAGAGAAAATTAATGTTTATAGTTGTGTTAAATTTTAAAGAGCAGTTATGCATTTTGTTCCAATTTTTATATAAAAATTGTTACTTAAGAAAAAGATATACCACAATGAATTGTTATTGTTACTCTAACAGGAAAAAAATGTTAGAAAGTACTTCTAAAAATATATTGAAAACATTAAATGCTATATTTTCAATTTAAAAGAAATCCAATTTGAAACCCTTAATAATAATAAACTTGTGGTGGTTAAGAATAAACATGAGGCTGTGTGTAAAAGGTTGATCTAATCTAGGACCCTCTTAAGGAGGAAGTTTTGTTGGGTATTTTGGTTTCAGGTGATATAATTTGAGAAGAATAGATATAGAATACAAAACGATAAGAAAGGAGAGCACATGTGATGGGAAGTGGTGAATCAAAACTCAAGGTGGAACCACATTTGATGATAGATATTGATAAAAAGATGATAGAAACATAGCACTGAGTAATAAAATTTGAAACGTCCATGTCTATTTGGCTATGTCTCTGATCACATCGAATCCCATCTCGGTTGGATCCGTGGCTTGGAGTTCATAGCTGATTCCATCCAGTGCTCTTCTCAACCCATCCTTGGAAGTTGCGTACAGAATCTTTGCTCTAATCCTTGATGCTGCTGGAGACCTGATACATACACACAGATATCATATATGAATTCAATCACTCCATAGTCCCCAATCAGCAGTCATCATACAATGGTACTACCTACAAACAACTTTTATTTATGCATTATTGACTCTTTTTCCTTTCACATTATGTGCAACATTATTACTACAACTGTTATAGACGACATAACTCATAATTAAAATAGCGCCACCAGACAGAAACTACTCATAATTGAACAGCAATTAACGCACAGCTCTTAAAAATCAGATGAAAGAATAGAGCAGAGGGAGCACCATGCAATGAAGAAGATCTTGCTCTTGCGGCAGTTATCGACGGTGACGAAGTCGAAGTCGAAGACTGCGTATCGGCAATCATCGGTGGGCAAGGAAGCAGTGAGATCATCGTAGCCCTCGGTGGGGCCACCCAGTTTATCAACGGTGACCACCCTGGATCCCTCGTCGATCTTGAACACTATGTATCTGTGCTCCTTCTTCCACTTCATATCCATGAACGAGTTCTTGCACTCATCCGTTACCCACATTCCAGTGGTCGCCTGAGGTTATAATTAACGGAGTCAATCACATCTTCGAAACAAATCAACAACATGATCTATGAAATGTAGCTAAGTCTAAGATAGAGATGAATTAAGAAGATTAGAGTAGAGTAGAGTAGAGTAGAAGATTACCATCTTGAAAGCCATGGCCATTTTGTTTTCTGAAAATGAGTAAATGGTTGGTCGGGTGGTGTGAGAGCAACAGCTGGCCCTATATATACAACTTTAGCTCCTCAAATGCCATTCGCCTTCCCTCCTATTTACACTCTTGTCCTTCCTTTCGCCTTGTCTACTAAACCTTCATTCTTTCAACGGATTCAAAATTCAATTATTATTTTTTACTTCAATAATTATTTTAAATATGCTGCAATAATAAATATTTAAGAAAATGTTCATCATTTTCTTGCCATATAACTTAACTAAAAGATCGAGTTATGTTTTATACTTAAATTTAGATGACGAATTGTTACAGCTATACGCTGATTAATACATGGTCTAACGTAGTTGCGTACTATATGCTCTAATTCATCAACATTTCCAAAAGCTCCGGTTTCATTTTATTTTTAATAAATTTAAAAGTAAATTACATTACTACACTCTAAAATTTTCTCAAATTACAATTACACTTACCTGCTCTCTCTCTCTCTCTCTTTTCTTTATAAGAGATATGTATATATAATATTTTAAAACAAAAGAACAACGTGTGTAGGATTTTAAAAGGATGGAGGTATAAGTATAATTAAACAAAAAAAGTCGGAGTGAGTGAGTCTTGCTTTCTTATAATCATTAAGTTACATATTCACATAAAATAATAATAATAATAATAATATTGGTATTATTCAAATAAAATTAAGTTTTAAATTAACCAGTAAAACTCACAAAAATCTCTAAAAGGAATTGTTTCGTTCAGTTATTTTCTTAGAAAATAATATTCTTATTAATCACCATTCTATCTTCATTAGACACTCGTTACTTCAGAAAAAAATATATTAAATAATAATTAATTTTACCATCAATTTATCTTCTAATTTTTCATATTTTTCAGTCTTTCATGTCTTTTAATATGTAAAAAAATTAAGTTTAAATCTATCAAATTTATGTTCATAATATAGAAAAAGAAAAAGGAAAAAACGATTTTACAAGGCAACAAAGTAATATTTGAAAAATAAAACAAAAGAAGAGTCCAAGTAAAACTAATCTTTTGAAAAATGTTGAAAGTTTGTTAGAGATTCTAGATGTGACATAATGCATGCAGTGCCATGGTATACATACAACTATATTTGAAAATATTTCAGAAAAGAAAAAGGAGAAGAAACACTTGCTGAGTACAACATACACAACAATTGAAAATGGAAACAATATCTCATTTAATTTCTTTCCCTTTCTCTACAGAATATAACTTTGTATTAATCTAATCTGCAAAATATAATAAGCAAAGCTAACGAAAGCAATGAACTGGGAAAAAAAGTGCAACAATATTGTTGTTTCCTAAACAGTGTACAGGGGAAATTTAATACTATGAAACAGAAAGAGAAATCTATTCAATTTTTTAAATGACGAGTAATTATTGCCGCTTCAAGAAGGAAATTCATCTTTCCTATCCCACAGACTCTTGGGTATCTCTCCAGAGTCCAGAGTCTGCAATGACAACTTTCTTTCTGGGTTTCCCATCGTAGGTTCCAGCACCCCCTTCAATTGCAAACACATTATCCATGCCTTGGACAACCTTCCCAAACACTACATGCTCTCCATCTAACCTGCAAAGTTGGCAAGCCAATTCATATCAATATATCATAACTAGAGACTCTATAACTTATTAGAGTAAATTAAGAAGTTTCCACATGCAACATTGTCAAATAACATTTCGCCAAATTTTACTGAAGGAAAGTAACATGTCTGCCTCAAAAAAAAAAAAAGCAGTTTGTTTGTTTGTTCACAATTTGGTCACAACCAAGCTTCTGACCCCTTTAATGTGGTTGGCAGAAGAGGGAGGCGGGAGAAATTAACAGAAGGGCATATATAGATGGTTCGAAATGATACTGAAAATAGTGTTAAAACGGGACTCGGAATTGTCTGAACAATTTCCCTGCATGTTGGATTAACTTACCAACTGGTCTTCACTGTGGTAATAAAAAACTGTGAGCCATTGGAATCAGGACCTGAATTCACCATAGAGATTACACCTGTGCAACCGTAAGCATATTTACAACTACTTAATCTTACACCTCAAAAATGAATTATAATGTCAACATCGGAAGTTTTTAAAAAAATAAAATGCTTGCATCTAAGCAAATCTTTTACTGACCCGCATGCGAATGTTTTATCTTGAAATTCTCATCAGGAAATGTAGCACCATAAATAGATTCATGTCCTCTACCATCATGATGAACAATGTCACCACCCTGAAACATGAAACCTGATATTATCCTATGAAATGGTGTTCCTTTGTAATGAAGTTTTACACCATTGGCATTCTTTCCTTTCTCCCCTACACAATAAACAATTCTCATGATCAGTATGTAAAGGAGATGGAGGTTAAATTAACAAAACAGCATTAAGACTTCAAATACCTGTGCACAAAGCTCTAAAGTTTTCTGCAGATAGAAGATTTTTAATCAATTAAAATTGCAATGCACAAGGATAATACAGGCGTTACTTGTGCAAAATGTCATTATATCCACGAGGTAGATTGATCAGGCAGATATACGAGTTCAATTTGAATTTACTGACAAAGACTAAGTCTAGGCATAAAGAACAAGTTATGAGTCACAAACTGTAAAATTTCTGCAGAGGGGTCTGCTCACCATTCGTATTCTTACTTAAAGAAATTGAGTAAAAGACCAAAGAATTGGATTGTGAGACATACCCACAGTTTTTGGTACAACTTGGCCATATAATCCAATGACAATCCTACCTGCAGAAGTTAGTGCATTACAAATGATAAGTTGTTGCTTTTATCTGTCTACATCCTCCTCCTAACCAAAATGTTTAGTAAATCAGTTTGGTCCAAATGAGAACATTTGGTTAAAATTTATAAAATTTGCTCCAAACCTAAACGTTGTCCATCAATATCAACATCCAAGAATACTCTGTCTGTAATTTCAGGTTCTTCTTCTTCTTTCTCTTCAACCTACACCAGTAAAGGTGAATTTTACTATTGACAGAACACAACAACTAATCAGATGGGAAATTCAATTGGAAAGTGGAAAAAAGTTTACAAATGAACGAACCATCAATTTTCAAACAAAATGTTTCAAAAACAAGTGTAAATTGTGAGGGTTAGGGCTTCTTAATAAAAGTGTACAGCCATAAAGGACTAATCCAGGTTACGGAGAAAGCATAGTAGGGGGGTGAGAGGTAATTATTAATTAACTTTTTACTTTTATTTATTATTATATTTCTGGTTTACTAGTTCTGCCCCAACATTGTTTAAATTTCCCCTCAGTCAAGCAGTTTACTGAGTTACTTATGCCACTAATTTTTTCCATTGGCTCCATTACTCAAAATTTCTAAGTCCCCTCACTGCATATGAATATATGATTAATATGGTGGATAAAAGAACTGGATTTTTATTCTGAAGTTACAATAGGCGAAGAACAAACCCTGGCTAACGCTTTAATTTACGGTTAGAGCTTCTGAATGGCTTCACTATATTTCTTAATGCTTCTTCAATATCGAACTTAAGCCCGTTTGGTGTAAAGAGACTCTGTTTGTTTACACCATGTCAATGACCGATTCTCCTAACACCTATCTTAAAAGCTTAAGTTGTTGGGCTAATGCTCTTGATTACCCCCCGCCCCCAACAATAATCTTTTGGTTTGAAAGCATAGATAATATACAAAGTCTACTTCATCATATACTAAAATTATTACTTTTTCAAGAGAAAAACTGATATCTGCAAGAATCAAACTCCTGCTCAGGTGGTCAAAGTCTGAAATAGGCTTTAATACATATCAATAACCAACACTCTTAAAAACTTCTTGTGGGGTTTCTTTTTAAAAAGATCTTTGACTAGTATTGGCTTCAGATTTCAATTGACAGGAGATACCAATGAGTAAGTATAGCTTATAAAATGATTGAATGGCAAGGAAACATAAAATGTTAAATCTGAACTCTCTCCATCAAATTGAAAATTAAAGGTATAAATAACTCTTGTTACCAAGGTTGTCAAAGTTAATAGTGTATGGGTGGGTTTGATACACACCAAGGTACAGCACCAAGGAAACAACATAGAACAACTACTCGAGTCAGAGGACAACTTTTTGTCTTGTACCTTATTTGATGAACACTGTAACAACACAGACATAAACATTATAATAAGAAAATTATACGAATACCCTTTCATTTCATCCCCTTCATCTTCTCTCCTTGGTATCATTTATCACCTTATTTTCCCTCTATTTTTTTTATTTATTTAAATTGTGTTCGTCATAACATAGAATTACTTATTGACATTTGATCATTGATAATGCCAATGTCTGGTGGACATTAATTAGATTAAGTGATGCTAAAGATCTCATTGGTGCTGATGAATTAAGAAGCAATGTTGGGTCTCAGTTTTCGTTCTGCTGATATTTGCATGTTCCTATTGGAAGATCTTGGCGTAACTCAAAGGGAGCAGGAAATCAGAATGGGACCTGGAAGCTTGCAAGAGAAAACTGGAGCAAGACTAGAAAGCCCAAATACCATACGAGGAAAAGATCTTCGTGATCATGAATGGGTAAGAGAAGCCAACGTTATCAGTCACACCGAGTACTAGAAGGTTCTCTACCTTCAGGAATAACACCATCACAAGAACCTGCGAAGAGAGAAAATCGCAGGAAAAGGCACACCTAAAAGGCGTGGGAGACAGTAGAAAGGGAAATTATTGTAAGGACATCTTTGACTTTTCAATTTTATCATGCACATGACAAAAAGTTCTCGCGTGATTTAGTGAGTTACAATTTTTATACCTTGGCTTTGTCCCTCATCACTTGTTTTGTTCTGTCCCTTAACCATTTTTCAAATTGAACATGGAACAAATAATTTTGTGCTGTCTTTGTCCCTCTACATTCAGGGAGCCTCTGCAGAATCAACTCAAAATAGCAAGAATTCACCTAATATAAAAGTAATACTTTAAACAGTTATTTAAACTGTTTCAACTTATAATATGAATTTAACACAGTTCAGCTCAATTTAAACCCCATTCAAACTGGGTCATAACAATTTAAATACATAATCAGCTACTCAAATTGTTTACATTATTAGTATGCTAGTTGAACCAGCTAGTCCAGCCTGAATTTCACAATACTAGTTTCTGGTTAAAAAGTGCTGCATAGTGAGCAAAAATAATATGACCCAGAAGGTTCTCAAACTCAGCCCATAGACTCACAACACAAGTTATGCAATCTATCTATTTCTATATTGTTTCTCCCAAGTCTTCTCACCATAAAGTTTCATGCAATTGGACTTGTTTTCCCTAGTGGACACAAACTCATCCGGGTCAGCGAGTTGAGTTGCAAGTTTTACATGCAACATTGGTTAACCCCCCAAATGTAATTTATTTTCCCTTCTTAGTGGCAAACTTGAGTTCAAATGTAGGCAAACCAAATTCAGAAATTCCTTCCTTGGTGGTAAATAACAAGTGAAAGAGGTAAAACATGAACCTAAAAAATTGTTATTCAACCACCAAATATTTTAAATTACTGATAAAGTCATAACCAAGAGGAATGGACACATCCTAGAAGTAGAATCATACTTCATATATTCCTAAAGAAGCAATAACCCACAGAGGTAGATATTATAATGAACTTAGCATATCAGAAGGGCTCTTGACCATGGTAATACAAATATAAAAATTCCAAATCTGTACACTGTGTAATCCAAGTATAATGTTACTGATATAGAAGTCGTTGCACAATCACAATACTTCTGTACTCTACCAAGAAACAAAGGCATTACCTAAGCGCATGTCTTTATCTGTGTACTCTTCGCTATGTTAATATTTCTATTCTACTACCTGCAGTTCTGCTGCACTCATCACAATTTATCAATCCGAAGACTCTAACTTGCCTGAGTATCCCTACCCCCAAAATCAGTCAAGCGGTTATCAGAAGGCTATCAGAAAGATCAACACCGTTCCCCGACGTAGCCAAAGCCGTTTAACTTAAAAGGGATGGATTCGAATGGATCAAGATTAAGCAGAGAACCATACTGCAATGCAAAAGCTAACATCTGACTACATCTATCTCACATCGGAAAGTAAATGTAAAGAAAGAAAGAAATTGAATTACACCTAAAACCATTGAAGCCGATAATTCGATCAGTGAAATCAAATTCAAATGGCATCCCATGAGGACTAACTCAACCATAACCTGCTTGTAAAATGAGGATGGTCCCTACCTATATGATGTATTTGAGCACTATCTAAAATTGTCGGGTGACTTGGTTTTTCCCAATACTCGTTAGACTCATTCATGGCCAGATCAAACAATTAGGTCGAAACCTGATTCAATTATCTGAATCAAATCCAAAATGCAAATTGTAAATAAAGAAAAAGCGCATACCCATCTGGAACCAGATATTGCGAGAATCACGAAAATTGTGAGAACAATGACGACAAGGAGGCATCTCGGTTGTACGAGAAAGGAGATCGCTCTACGCATTGCTTCAATACCCACAATGATGAGTTGCATACAATCAAAGAAAAATCGCAACTTTGTGATCCTCCATTGCAGAGAGCTTACTGGGTTTGTCTAGGAAACGTTCAAGTCCCAGCTACAAAATAAAACGCTACAGTACGCAGTCGCCGAAGGTTCCTGTTGCAGACTAGAGGCGTTGCAAAGGGCATAGATTAAAATGTGAATAACCAAATAAAATAATAAAAAGTTATTTGATTTTAAAATGAAAGCAGAATTTAATTTTTTATGTTTCCAAGCCAACAGATGCTATCATGCATGCAGTCATGCGCAGGTTGGGTTTGGTTTAACGGGAACTTCCAATGTAAGAGGGAACAGGAGTGGACCCAGCATATCATACATTCATAATTAGTTTTAATTTTATTGAAATTGCTACAATTTTTTGTAATTACATTGACTTAAAATTACAAGTTGTTTAAGTTTCAACCCATTTAATCCACTAGTCTTTCAATTTTTATTTTCATCTAAATTAATCTTTCTCATTTTGAAGTAAAAGAAGATCTAGTCCTATGCCAAGATTTTTCGGTGCATTTGGTATATTTTTTTCTATGTCCTGAAATATCATTTAAAATATATTTAGAAAGCTTTTAATTATTTTAAAATTATATTAAATATTTTTTATTGTGATATAATCAACTTCTAACATTTGTATATTTTTATCTGACAAATATTAATCTAGCTTTTATTGCTCATGAAAGAACACTCTTTAAATTAATGTGACCATGTGAAGATTTTATTTTGGCTTACATGTGAGATTTTTTTATAATGCCGAACATTTCATCGTCTCTTTTGTAGAACAAATTGATTTCTTATTATTAGGATGCACGTGTCACAATAGCGAGCTTTCCATAAATGTAGAAGATTATTGTTTTTATATATTAAATTACTTAATTATAACCTATAATTAAACATTAATATATTATATATTGAACTATTCAAGTATAATTTAATTATTATATATTTGAATCGTTCAAATAACATAATAAATCTTAATTTTATTTTAATACATATATAAGAATGGAGGAGGGAGCAATCCATCCCATTTCGTCTCATTATACAAGACGAACTAGGGAATTAAAAATAGGGAAAAGATTATTTAAGAACCAAATTTTTTCCAAAAATCATATAAATAATTTTAAAATATTATTAATTTTTTATTTATTAATAAAAAAATAATATAAAAAACTAAAATTAGACAATTAAATAAATATTTACTAAAAATGAATTATCAATATATCATAACCCTTAAAAATACCATATCAACTCATTAATTTTATGATGAGTCACACCCATTTCAAAAATATATCTCCAAATACAATCTAATTTATTAATATAATAAGTACAAAAAGATTTGATGAAAATAAAAATAAATTTAAACTATTATTATATTATTAAAGGCAGTGGTAGATCAGATGTTTGATAGAATATGGGGTGTGAAAATAGTTTATTCCTTTTATAACATATTGTAGGAGGATCTAATACAGAAAGATTATAATGACATTGGTGAATGTAGTTCCTTGGTCGTGTTTGAGCATGAATTGCTGTACATGGGGCGCAAGATTAGGAGATTGAAGCTATTAACAGGAGTTTGAATGTGTTGTTGGTATTTTGTGTGGTTCTGAGCGAAAGAAGGGGAAAATGTGGAGGTTGGGTTGGATCTGAAGAGGTGAAGGTGGGAGTTATAAATATGAAGGGGGACGAGGAGTATAACAGCATTGAATAAAGAATAAAGAATAAAGAATAAAGAAAAAAAGAAAGAATAAGAGAGAAGATGGCCTGTTTTATCCCGAGAGACCTTCTTCTCTCCATAGCTCTCTCCTTCACCATTGTTCTGCTTTTTCCCGTGGCCCTTTCCAAAAGTGTTGAAGGAGCAGAAGCAGTACACCACCACGGGGGACGCATACTCACCGGCTACGTCAACATTGGCATCCTATGGTACGGCCCAATTCCAAGGGTCCAAAGGAAAGCCATTTTGTCCTTCTTCAGGTCCCTCAGCACCGCCACCCCTACCGCCGATAACCTACCTCAGGTGGCATCATGGTGGAACATGGTCGAGAGCTATCAAGCATACACCGATCCACCTGCATCTGGTGCCCCCAAGATCACCGTGAAGGTGGTAAACCAAGCGTCTGACCCAAATTACTCATACGGAAAAGTTCTGATCAGAGATTTCATCAAGCCCCTCCTCCCCACGGCAACCGGAGGAAATCCAAACACCGTGGCTCTCATCATAGCCAGCAAGGGCGTGACCGTGCAGGACATGTGTGCTGGATCATGCGCACAGCACGGTCTTCTTGGTACATGTCTATTCTCAAATCATTAATTAGTTGTAATAATGTGATGACTGTGTTACTTGTTCACTCATTCACTCACATACATGCATGCATGCACGCAGACGATCAAGTATACGTTGCAGTCGGGGACCCGGAGGAGGAGTGCCCTGAATGTGCATGGCCATTCGTGGCGAGCAATGGAAAGGTGGGCGCAGTGATGAAGCCACCGAACGGGGATATTGGAGCAGATGTGATGGTGAAGTTGTTGGCAGGAGGTTTGGCCGGAGTAGTAACAAACCCTTACGGGGATGGGTTTTACGCAAGTGCACGCGGAGATAATATTCTGGAAGCCACTAGCAGGTGCCCTGATATTTTTGCATCAAAACAAATCCCTGTCGACTCCGAAACCGGTGGAGCCTATAATACGGTCGGCGACAAGGGCACCAAGTTCTTGCTCCCTGCTATTTGGAACCCCAAAACTTCCTCCTGCTGGACTCCTCTCTAGATTCCTCTATTATTCCCATCATATACATATCATATTCATCTCATTTTTTTCTATCACACAAAGACTCATTTTCTTCCACACCACCCTCCTTTCTAATTTAGTTTTCAAGGACGGAAAACTGTAATAAGTGGAACCTTCTCTCTGTTTTTAATTATTGTAATTTCAATCAATTTTATCAATCTTCACTTTCTGTTTTTCTTTTCACACATTTTATTCATTTTATTATTTTGTTAAACGTTTACCACTGTAATTAGTAGCCAATAGTTAATTGAAACAGGGATTTGTGTATTTAATGTTCACAGCTTTAATCTTTGTGCTTGGTGTCTGTGGGAAGGTCTTTCTCAACGGAACCAAAAGACATACAACAAAATAACGTTGCGTCTTCTGTTCATCTGCGAGTTGTTTATAATAAATTAATCATCAAATTTCTGAGGCCAAGTGGACAAGTTGCTTAGGGCAGATCTACCCGACGTAACAAGTTTATTCGATAAAACATTTATTTCTTATTTAAAAAAGTTTTCTTCATAATAAAAACAGTATTTAACCTTATGAAAAAAAATATTCTCAAAAACAGAGAACTATGGAACCACAAAAAGTGTTGTTGGGTCAGAACCGTTCGTCCAACCAATAGATATCGAAAGCAACATTTTTCGGTTTTAGTTTAAATCAAGTTGGATATTTTGCAAACAATTTTGAGACGGGTGTAACACGCAGCCAGTCAGTCAGCGTCTAAATTTTATTACAATTTTTTATATATATAATACATTAATGCAAATAGTAATTTGAAAATATATATAAAAAAAAAAGTCAATTCTGAAATGTGCATGTTAGAGAAAACATTCATTGAGATGCCTTAACTTAAATTTTTTGTTATATTATTTTTTCTTACTAAAAAAAATTATAATAATAAATGATTTTGTTAAAAAGAAAAGTTTACCAGTAAAACATTACAATACTAAAATCAGAATAAGACAAGAAGTAATAAAAAAGTTTACGAATAAGAAGAAGATTATTGGTAAATAATAAAATGATTTTATTCATGATAAATTTCTCTTAGTTGAAACCATGATTGGAATTGATTTTTTCCATGAGTATAATACCTCAAAGGGGATCTTACCAAAAATACGTAATTATTTTTCAACTTGTTCATATTTTTTTTTTTGAGAGCTTGTATTTTTCCCTCATGTTTTTGTTCGACTCTAGCAATCTCTGCCCAAAAGCTTACTCGTTTTTTCCCTGCATCTCTTCCATATATGCAATTTCAAACTGTTAATGATTTTTTCAGGATTCATGTTGGTGATGATCAGTATTCAAAATATGTTTATGGAATATATTTTATTATTTCTATATATGACGTCAAATATTCTTAAAAAAAATTAAAATTATAAATTATTTTGTGAAGATCGACTAATAATTAGGACAAGGTTGATTTGGTCGACTCCTTCCTTGAAATCTACTGATTAAGTAAAGTTAAAAAAGAGAGATCTACATATAAAGACAATATAATCCTTAAATTAAAAAAATAAAAATAAAAAGAATTTGAACGAAAGCCAGATTATGTACAAAAAATAAATAATAAAAAAGTATTTAAACGAGAAGGAGATTATATATAAAGAATACGATGATTTTATTTATATATAATTCTCTAAAAATTAGATCTATTTTAATATTAATTATTAAATTTAATATAATATTACATATATTATTATCATAATAATGATTAATATAAATAATATTTTAATTATATAATAAATATCATAAATTTAAAAATCTAGATAGGTACGTACTATATAGAAAAGAAAAATAAAAATATATTAAAGTGATTGATAATAACCCACCACTGTAAAATAGTCCTTAAATTTGTTATGAAAATGAAAAGTGGTGGAAGTAGGGTGTAAGAGAAACACGAAAGTGCTGCTCTGCCAGGCTAACCAGCAGAGCCTTTTTATTTTTTTATAAATTGATGAAAATAAGATAAAATAAAATTATGTAGTGAGTAAGAGGGGTATTAGCATATAAGTAGGGAAGGAGGAGGAGGAGGAGGAGGAGGAAGCGATAAACAGGAATCACTGAAATCGAATAAAAAATGGGCGCCGATTGGAGTTGGAGCAGGAGCAAATGGGTTGGGTTAGTGGCGGCGGTGTGGATTCAAGCCATCTCCGGCAACAACTACACTTTTTCAAATTACTCCGACGCTCTGAAATCCCTCATGCATCTAAATCAAATTCAGCTCAACAATCTCTCGGTGGCGAAGGACGTTGGGAAGGCATTTGGGCTTCTTGCTGGTCTGGCTTCTGACAAAATGGGGACTTGGGCCATTCTCCTCATTGGGTCTCTCGAAGGTCTCATCGGTTATGGCGTTCAGTGGCTCGTCGTCAGCCAAACAATCCAACCCCTCCCCTACTGGCAGGTTGCTAACACTTATTATTACTCATTCAAAACATTTCATTGCTACCTTCGCCTTTTATTTCCCTTAAATTCCCCCTTCTCAGTTTCTTAAACACGCAGATGTGCATATTTCTGTGCATGGGTGGCAACAGCACAACATGGATGAACACGGCGGTTCTAGTCACCTGCATCCGCAACTTCCGCCGCAGCAGAGGCCCTGTTTCCGGCATTCTCAAAGGCTATGTCGGTTTGAGCACCGCCATATTCACCGACCTCTGTTCTGCTCTCTTCGCCCACGACCCTGCTTTGTTTCTTGTCATGCTCGCTCTCATCCCTTTCGTCGTTTGCCTCTCCGGAATCTTTTTCCTCCGTGAGATTCCTACCGCCGACGGCAACGACCATGAAGACTCCACTTATTTCGGGGTCTTCAGCGCCGTCGCCGTCCTCGTCGCCGTTTACCTCTTGGCCTTCGACTTCGTGCCGAACCCTAGCACGTTCGCGTCTCGAGCTTTCTCTGTCGGTTTGCTTGTTTTATTGGCGGCGCCGTTGGGCATCCCGGTCCACTCTCACTTCAAATCACGCGGGTTGGACCGGTTCAAACCGGATTTGGAGGGGCCGAGTAAGGAACCGTTGCTTCGCGGGAACGACAAGGGTTATGAAAGTGAGGAGGAGAGAGGGAGTGTTTTAGCGGAAGACGCGGTGGCGGTGGCGGTTGGAAAGAGTGGACCTGCGCTGGGGGATGAGCACACGATATGGGAGGCGCTGAGAACCGTGGATTTTTGGATTTTGTTCGTGTCGTTTCTTTGTGGGGTTGGAACGGGTTTGGCTGTTATGAATAATATGGGTCAAATCGGGTTGGCGCTGGGTTATTCGGATGTGTCCCTCTTTGTGTCTTTGACCAGTATTTGGGGCTTTTTCGGTCGGATCGTATCGGGTTCGGGTTCGGAGTACTTCATAAAGTAAGTCACTTTGACCCGTTTTCTTGTGACGTGTGAAAGGAATTTATTAAAACTATAAATTAAAATGGCTTCATTCATGCTTTTTGTATTTGACCATGTTTTAGGTGACTTCTGACTTTGTTTTTAAAGATTGGAGTTCCGAGGACAATTTTCTTGGAATTTCCCTTGATTTCCTGTTTGGAACATATTTGCTTCCATTTTTATTCTTTTCTTTTCGTACCTTCCTTTATGAGGAAGGAAGACTTTATAAAAAGCAAACAATATGACGTGATCAAAGAAAGATAATGTTAATAAAATGTTTGGCTATATCAGATGCCAAAACAGATGAAGTTTATATCTTATGCATTCAAACACTTACTTCACATTTATTGTTTATTTATATGAATAACATCTTCGAATGTAGTTAGTTATAATTATTATTTAACAATAAAAATATTATTTTATAAAAAATGATTCGACTTTTTTTTTTCTAATTTAAAACATTCTACACTAAAATAATATGTCCTTTATCAAATTAGAAAGGTTGAATGAATGGAATGGAAATGTTTGATTTGTGTGCGTAGGAAGAATAACGATTAGCTTGGTTTGATCTATGAATTTGCAGGAAAGGTGGAACACCTAGACCCCTTTGGAATGCAGCGTCTCAAATTGTGATGGGCGTGGGATACATACTCCTGGCCATGGCCATGCCAGGTTCCCTTTACGTAGGGTCCATTGTGGTTGGCATATGCTACGGAGTGCGGCTTGCCATCACTGTGCCAACAGCCTCGGAGTTATTTGGCCTCAAATATTATGGTCTCATGTACAACATTCTAATCCTTAACCTTCCCCTTGGCTCTTTCCTCTTTTCTGGTCTGCTAGCTGGCATTCTGTATGATATGGAGGCAACTACCGCCACAGGAGGAGGCAACACTTGTGTTGGACCTCATTGTTACAGACTGGTATTCATAATCATGGCTGCAGCCTGTGTTGTTGGGTTCTTCTTAGACCTTCTGTTGTCAATCAGAACCAAGAAGGTTTACAACAACATCTCCTTCAGCAAAACCTCCAAGAAAAACTCAGTCACATCAAGTACGCCATGATCCCAAAAGGGCTCATTTATTATGAGGGTATGGAACCTTTTGGATTGAGGTGCGTTTCCACAATGATATCATGATTTCCACTGCTACGGTTAACTCTAACTCAGATGTCTTTTTGGGAATAGAAGTTGTCAAAGATTTGCAATTGGAGAATAAAAGGTTGTCAAAGATTTTCGATATATTGAAGTATTTGCAAACAGCCATGAAGGAAAGAAAAAAAAAAGTGAGCAGAGACTTTTATTAGAAAGTAAACCTATGATCTTTGTTGTTAAATTCTACTAGGGTTTTATTATCTGGCGGAGCAACTGAAGAAAGACAGGGTTTTTTATTCATTCACACAAGTTCACATATTTATATCATAAAAATATTAGAAACACTTTCAGCATATTCTTAGCATCATGTATCATCCATAGGCTTTCAACATCAAAATAATTGTCGGGGATTGTGCTTGGAATATGGAATTGACGTTGTAATATTTGTCTTTTGCAATTCCTCCCGGTTTTGCCAAATCCATCAAAGTCAACAATTTGCTCCACCCATGCCATGATCTCTTAATGCTGAAAGATAAAATAATAAATATCCACTACAAACACAGTAACATGTATAGTATCTGGGGGCATCCATCAGTGTCCATGATAAAATGCAGGATGTTGCAAGAGAATTGACAAGAAGGGGAGAAAGAAGTTATTTATCAATCACATTTACTCTTTTTATACACCTAAACTCATCATGTATATTATATAAAAAGCATATTTAGGTAGAGATGAAAATGTGAAATGACCAAATCTCAGTTATAGTTTAAATGAACTATGATTAAAATGGAAATTGATAAACTATCATAGCCATTTATGTATAACTTCATAAACAAAATTAGCTTTTTGTTCTCACCTGTCATACACTCACTTTATTTATTTGTATTGTATCACCTTTTGTGAGAATTGAAGATAGGTTGTGTTAGTGAGTTGATATTTGATTAAAATTTAACAATTATTGCAGCCACAAGAAAAACAGAATAGTGTCAACTTTCATTGATTGAGAAGGAGCAATTTGACAAATGGCATACAGTGCCCTAAACGAGAGGAGCATAGATGTTGGAGTACCTATACCACGCTGAAACCCAACAAAGATAACATGTCGATGTTCAAAGCAGTTTCCATTGAATTCGATTATGAATCATGATATTGTCCATTCATAACTTTGGTATTTAAAAGGGTCACATATTGTCCATTCATAATCTAGGCCTACGGTCCAAAAACGAATAGCGCGTGCCAACCCTATAGTTTTGTTTTGGTTGATCAGTATTCAATGCTCGCTCCAAGCATATACCATTCTGGGAAAGTTCACGCTGCACTCTTTGGATGAACATGATGGCATCCTTTTACTAATAGCAAATGTTACTCATTTTCACACACAACCAAAAAGTTTCAAACATTAGCTGGCCGTTGCACCCTGACTTTATGAATTTTTATAACCTCCACCTAAATTCCCATCTACCAGCAACTTATACCAAAGCTAGATACTAACCTCTTTCAGTCTCTAGAGTTTGTCATTAATAAAGGAGGCTTCTTTTGTTTAAACTATCCATCAACGTAGATTCCGTGTTATTTAATACTAGCTCCTTCCATTTTGCTACATCTATTCAAGTTCAAACTTTATATTTTTATTGATATTTTAGAAATTGAAGACATGAAGATAAAAACGCATGAAAAAATATGAAATATTATTTATTTAATTTTTAGGAAGAAGAGTGAATTAAACAAGAATGGTGGGTTCAGTTACATTAGAAATGAACATTGGTATATATAGGCACGATTTAATATAATAAATATCTACATCATTCTCTTTATTTATGCATATATTTCTCTTTTTGACATCTGATATTACTTATTATATTTGGAGTATTTTCCCCCATCTGTGTTTAGAAGTAGATGAAATTGATTGGTGTCCTTGATTGCTAAACTCCATTCGTTAATGAACTCACTATATTGTCCTTTTGCACCTCAACAACTGTACAAGACCCAAATTTGAAAGGTCGCAACTTTTGTTTTGGCTCTTGTATCACATGAGCTTCGAAGGATCCATAATTCGCTTGTTCATAAATTATTTGAATATTTATTCATCACTGTCAAAAATTTAAGTCTTCACATCAGTTTAAGGATAGTGTGACCCAAGAAGACCGACTCACATTTCTGATATCTTGTTCCTGAGCAAACATATATATTAATTAAATAAAAGAAGGTCAAAAAATATATAAAAACTTAAGAGTTCCTTTGTTTTAGTTTTACCTTTTTTTTTTTTTTAAAGATGCAGGAGGAGGGTGAATAGTAAAATGTGTCAATTGCAAACCATTATCACAGGAGGTGCATGTCGTTTAACTTAACTATATTATACCAGTGTCTCTATATTTAGAGTCACATGAATTTATTAGTTCTCTGATTTGTTGACGTATCAGTAGCATGTGAATAGAAAGCACGGGACTTTTTAGAGGTTCTGTTCCCTTGTGATATCACCTCCCATCCCAAACACTACCCTCAGTCAAAGGACAACCAATCTCTTACTCCTCTCTCCTTTCCTACACTGCACTCGTGTTCTCCAGGACACAACGGACATTTGTATTGTATTTATTTATGCTGAATGCTTTCTTCACAGTTTGTTGCCCTTTTTGCTTCGCATCACATTCTAACTCCAAGGATGAAAGACATCATCCACTTCTCTGTCCTTATACTTTTCTTCCTTCTCATACGGCCTTCTTTGGTTTCTCCTCTATATGGTTCTTCTTCTCACTCCTTTACCTGTTTATCATTTTGAGAGCCAATTTTCAAGTACTAACAAGGTTCTCTATATTCATTGTTTGGTGTCCTTGTTGCAGATGGGCCCCTATATGACTCCACTGCCTACACTGAGGTAATTCAATTTTTGAAACAAAAGCATTCAACATTGACTAAGCTGGATTATGACTTTAATTGATGTTCCTGACAGTGCAAAGAGAAGCCAGGGAAGCCACTTTATGGAGGAGGAGTTCTCAAGAGTGACCAACAGTCTCCTCGTGGTGTTCAAGACAGCATTTACTCATCGTATGTTGTCAACAACAGCTATGTGCCTTCACTAGTTCTATATAATCTCACTCAGGGCAACATTCACACTTTTTCTGGTTGGTTATTATCTTTTTTACACTCTTATCTTTATCATTGATATGTTACTTCACCATTTTCTGCTTAATAAAAGGAAAAAAAAAAAAATTTCAAGCGTTATTTAAAGTTTTGATAAAAGAATATTCCGTTGCCGGGACTTGAACCCGGGTCTCTCGGGTGAGAGCCGAGTATCCTAACCAACTAGACTACAACGGATTGTTGAAATTGAAATGCAATTCTTAATTTAAATTAAAGTTTAAAAATTTTGTCACATTGTCCTCGTTGTCAGTAAGAATTAGGTGGCTTATTATATAATTGTTAGATATGATGTGGGTGAGTGACTATATGTTACAGCATGGGTGAGAATTAAAGATTCAAGTTCAGCTATGATAAAGGCTACCCTGGAAACAGAGAAAGAGACTTCTGATTGCATCGGGACAGTTTCAGCCAAGCTTGGATGCTGGTCATTTCTGAAGGGTGGTTTCGTTCTGAATTGGCCTTCAAATTTATCCATCATATTCTTCCAGGTAGCTTGGTTTTCTCTGGTTTTATTCAGTAGCACTCTTCAATCATGGTTTTAAGATATTTGATTGGTTTCTTTTAATTTTGTTTATGCAGACCGCGGATGGTAAAGACGTCAATATAGAAGTTGCTAGCCCATCACTCCAGCCATTTACTAAGCAACAATGGAGAATCAATCAACAGTATATAATCAACACTGTGAGTTAAACTTCATTATTTGACCAAAATAATGGAATGCTTAGTTGTTTTTTATTAAGCAAATGCACTGATCAATAAGAGATGATGTTTCGTGGACTCTCTCCGAACAAAGTAGGGGTTAAAATCAAGTCTCTAACAAAAGGGATGTACAATGTTTGTTTATTACTTGCATTTGACAGAAAAGAAAGCGTGCCGTCACTATTCATGTGTCAGATAGTAACGGAAGAAGATTGCAAGGAGCTTCCATCAGTATAGAGCAAATCTCAAAAGACTTCCCTTTTGGATCTGCGATAGCAAAGACCATTCTTGGCAACGTCCCCTACCAGGTTTGTATATTCTGTGTACCCCACTAACCACTATATTTCATAGCATAGAAAGTAATGCATGACAAGACTCAATTCTTCTTTCTGTCCATAGAATTGGTTTGTGAAACGATTCAATGCTGCGGTCTTTGAAAATGAGCTCAAATGGTACGCCACAGAACCTGATAAAGGCAAGGTCAATTACTCCATTTCAGACCAAATGCTACAGTTCGTGAGAACAAACAATATCGTAGCTAGAGGGCACAACATATTTTGGGAAGACCCTAAATACAATCCTCCATGGGTTCTTAACCTTACTGGAACCCAGTTACACTCTGCTGTGAATTCCCGCATACACAGTCTCATGAGCCAATACAAAGATGAGTTCATACATTGGGACGTCAGCAATGAAATGCTCCATTTTGATTTCTATGAGCAAAGGCTTGGACCTGATGCCACATTACATTTCTTTAAGACTGCACATAAATCAGACCCATTATCAACCCTGTTTATGAACGACTTCAATGTTGTGGAAACATGCAGTGATGTGAATTCCACTGTAGACGTCTATATCTCACGGTTAAGAGAACTGCAGCGAAATGGCATCTTTATGGATGGAATTGGCTTGGAGGGGCACTTCACAATACCCAATCCTCCCCTTATCAGAGCCATCCTAGACAAGTTGGCAACACTTGGACTTCCCATTTGGCTTACGGAGGTTGACATAAGCAAGACAAATGATAGAGATTCACAGGTAAGCTAGATAAGGTCAAGTATAATAATTGATTATCAGATGACATTATAATTATAATAAATAAGATAGACTATTCTCTCTAAACAATATATAATAATATAAAATGAATTTTCATTCTCATAATTGAATCTCTTGCATTACATGTAGGCAAATTATTTGGAGGAAGTGCTGAGGGAAGGGTTCTCACATCCTTCTGTGAATGGGATAATGCTGTGGACTGCATATCATCCAAATGGGTGCTACCAAATGTGCCTCACAGACAATAATTTCAAAAACCTGGCAGCAGGTGATGTGGTGGACAAACTTCTTGGAGAGTGGGAAACAGGTCGTGTTGAGGGAGTGGCAGATGTGCATGGTTCCTATAGCTTTTATGGATTCTTAGGAGAATATTCAATTACTGTCAACTATGGCAACAGGACTACACATTCAACATTCTCCCTCTCTGGAGGTGAAGAAGCTAGACATTTCACCATTACACTGTGATGTGTCTCTCAGATATATATTATTTATCATGCTGCTTGACATCACTGCAAACATTTATTTCAAATTCAAATGCTCCAATTATCACCGTCCTAGTAGATGGCTAAATGCACGCAGTAATATCATTTTCCAATGCTTGAAGATGTTGTCTTCAGAAATGTTTCTACAACTATTTTCCCTATTCCAGTCTTGTGCGCATTGTTTTTAAAAAATAAATGCACGTTTCATCGTTTTCTTTCTCCTGCGAAGTTCACTGATTAAAATCTGGATTTATCCCAGACAAAAATGGTTTAGTAAAGCTGAAAATTCATGAAAATTTAGCAGGAATATGGATTTTCGCTTCTGTTCTTTTTTAGATTTTTTTTTGGGAATCTTATTAACTTTTTATCGGTAAGGCATGCTTGAATACGTTATATTTTCAAGATTATAACCTAATTGATGGGAAAAAGGATTATAAGTTTTAAACAGAATAAAGTTTTGTTTGAACGATTAACAAAATTTAGAATTATAATTAAAAGTTAACGATTATTTTTTGTGTTTATATTGATTTTCTCAACTTTCTCACCCATAAACAATAATTTAAATATAAAACTGTTAGCTACTACAAATAATTTTATACCTTTATTTTTTTTATTTTAATAAAAACAAAACCCAACAGACACAAAAAATATATTAATTTTTCCCCTTAATATATATCCAAACATTAAATCTATTTCACAGAATCAGCTGTGACAGCACTAAATTACAACCATAATTAATTATAAATAAATTTATTAAAAAGAAATCGAATTCAAAATGATGAGAATTTATTCCTTACTTGCTCTACACTAGGAAAACCACATTCATAACTATGAAACAAACAGAAATTAAAGAAAGAACGGATTTTTGTAAATGGTTTTACTTTATATAGATTTTCCAAAAAAAAAAAACCTTAAAATCATTGTAGAAAGACAAAGGCATGGCGTTGGTAGGGAAGAAGACGTAAGGGGGAACGTTGAGTTGTCTGGCGAGGTCGAAGGCGCCGGTTCCGAAGAAGTGGGTGGAGGAGAGAGAGGAGGGTGTGGCGGAGAGAAGGGAGAGAGCGATGAACTGCGACACAGCTGATAGACTCCATTTTACCGTTGGGTGGAAGGTCGGAGAGTGTTACCGGCGGAAGGAAGCTGAGGAGGGTGGTTTGGGCCTCTGAGGGAGGGGCGCAGGTGGGTACGAGGAAACTGATTTGGAGGTTGTGGTGACGGGAGAGTCTCTGGGCAAACTCAATCATTGGAATCAAGTGTCCCACACCTTCTAATTCTTGTTGCTCTTCCATGCTAATTTTTGTTTCAGACAATTTTGGTGGAAGAAGGATGGGCTTTTTTTTCATAAATAATACTTTTTTCAAAAATATTTTTTAAAATAACACATCTCGAACTTTATTTACACAATTAGCACGGTTTATTGTTCATGTAATAAAATAATATTATTTTGCGTAATAAACTCTCGCTCAAGCGAAGAAACTCTTCGCTTGAGCGAGGAAATCCGTAAAAACGCAGTTATCTCTGGTCAACTATCGCTCAAGCGAAAGATATTTCGCTTGAGCGATAAGTGATTAAAATATATGATGACCCAAGTTGCGTTATGTGGCTAACTGCGTTGGACGTTTAGCCAAATAATGCAACTTGGGTTTAGATAGCGGTTCTAGAACTAACCGCTATTAAAAATATATTTTAGATAGTGGTTAACGTGGAACCGCTATTATATGTTACTTCTAAGAGTGATTATAACGTGAAATAATCGATCATAATTTTAAAATAATCCACATATAATAGCGGTTCCACGTTAACCGCTATGTAAAATATACTTTTAATAGCGGTCAATTCTACAACCGCTATCTAAAATCTCGGGTAAATTCTAGCTCAAGCGACGGTAATTTCGCTTGAGCGAGAAGTGATTGAAATATGTGGTGACCCAGGCTGCATTATGTGGCTAACTGCGTTGGACGTTTAGCTATGGTCAATTGTCGCTTGAGCGAGAAGTTCATCGCTTGAGCGAGAAAACCTGCAGGTGAACCAGGTTGCATTATATGATGTTGCTGAAAGGGGAGTTTGTTCTGTTTATGAAATTATCTTGTGTCTGTATTGTTTTACCTGGAGCTGACTGTAATTGATTCATTGAAGGTGAATATGGGGATGATAGCATGTAAAGAGAATTTAAAATTTCTTGACTAATGGTTGGTTGGTTACTCAGGGTTAAAGTGCTTGAGGTTGTAGGACTGTCAAGCATCAATTCTGTGGAGTGGCTTAGAATGATCAAAGAAGTGTTTTTACAGTATTTTAATCGATACAAAACGCTGTAAAACCCATTATGACCGATCAGATTTGAAATATGAGCGATCAGAACTTATTTCAATCGATTAAAACACATTTCAATCGATTAAAATCACTTAAAGGGTCAGAATGATCGATCAGAATGCAGTTATGACCGATCAGAGTTGGTTATGATCGATCAGAATTTAATTAAGATCGATCAGATCTATTTCAATCGATTAAAACACATTTCAATCGATTAAAATAACTTGGAAAAATTTGGTACAAAGTTTTAATCGATTAAAACTTCTTTTTATCAGCTAAAATAACTTGGAAAGTTTTATAAGAAAGTTTTGCAGTATATCAATCGATTAAAACAAGAAACAATCGATTAAAATTTCTTGACTGATGGTTGGTCATTCTTGTTATATTGAGTTGTATGACTGATATGTGCATCAATAGTTAGCAAAAAGTTCCTTAAATAACCTTTGATTTCATCAAACTCAAAAGATCTTCGTTTTATCAAATGATTCAATAAGATCTTCATCACTTTCAATTAATTGAAAAACTCTTAAGTTTCATACATTAAGACATTTCTTAACTAACACAATCTAATGATGCGAAGTAGATGCACATGCATCATTAGGACATGTTCTTCTGCTATAACCAGGGGTATGACCAGGGATATGTGGTTGTTTGTCCTCTGAATCATCTTGGTGTTGGCTGAGAATTTCATCTTCGTCTTCATCCTCACTAAAAGGATCAACGACTTCAATTGGGAGGCCAACAATTTGGTTTTCTTGTGTGGGTAGTTCTTCGTTGATGTTGGTGGAAGGGCCACTTAGAAGTTGGGTAAAAGGGATGTAGTCATTATGTGTGGGTATTTCTGGGTGAGTGTTTGGGAAAGCTTGGTAGGGTAAGGGTGAAATTTCTGGTGACTGTGTGTTGGGGTATGAAGAAGAAGAAGTTTTAAATGAAACAAAAATTTCAATACCACATAGACTTGAGTTTGAATCATGAACATCGAACATGGCCTCCACGTCGTCATCATCTTTTAACTCAACAGCAATGAAGTTGTTGATCCCAACTCCGAGTCTAGTTGGACAGCGAAAATGGATGGTTGCTACATTTTCGTGGGGTTGTTTCTCCAATTTCTTGTGGATCAACTTCTTCAACCTTTGTAGAGAAATTCCTCTCTTTAAAGGAACAAGTTTTGCAGTCCCAGTATTGAAGGTCACTCCCTCCATGGGACATGGGTTCATGAAACCATCATAGTGGACAATAGTAGACACTACACCCATTTTAGGAGTGTGGAACACAAAGAAGACTAAAGGTAAGAAGAAGAAATAATGCAAATAGCTTCAGAGATTTAGGAGTGTGCAATGTGAGAACTTCAAAGAATGAAAGTAGTCTATTTATAATGAAGTCCATTGCTTTGAATCCAATGCTCCCTCACATGGTTTCTGACGCACACAAAACCCAAGCAAAGTGGGTGGGTCAACATCTCTTTAAATATGTTTGGATTTTTCTGCTTTTGTCTACCCCAATGCAGGGAATCCAAGATTGGAATCCTAACTTAGGTGGGTAACTCAGCATTGGATTCTTTACTTGTGTGCATCAGAAAGACATGGGAATCCTGACTTGGGTGGGTGACTCAGCATTGTAAATAGTTGCAGGTTTTCTCGCTCAAGTGATGGTTTTCTCGCTTGAGCTAAAATTGACCAAGCTAAACGTCCAACGCAGTTAGCCACATAATGCAACTTCTGTCACCACATATTTCAATCACTTATCGCTCAAGCGAAAGTACCCGTCGCTTGAGCGAGACAAAACCCGAGAGTCCCCCTTGTTTGAAGGCTTCATCGCTCAAGCGATGACTTTGTCGCTTGAGCGAGTTTTGACCGAATGATGAAACGTCAAACGCAGGTAGCCAAATAATATAACTTGGTTCACCACATATTAGAATCACTTGTCGCTCAAGCGTTCATAACGTCGCTTGAGCGAGACAGAACCCGAGAATCACCCATTTTTCCAGGTGTCCTCGCTCAAGCGATGTGTTTTTCGCTTGAGTGACCTTAGATAGCGGTTCTAGAACTAACCGCTATTAAAAGTATATTTTACATAGCGGTTAACGTGGAACCGCTATTATATGTCAATTATTTTTAAAACTATGATCGATTATTTCACGTTATAATCGATTATCAATTTATTCGCTCAAGCGATGAGTGTCTCGCTTGAGCGAGAGTTGCCCACGGTCCAACTATATGTCTCACTTTTAAGAGCGGTTAATATTTTAACCGCTCTTAGAAGTGAACATATAATAGTGGTTCCATGTTAACCGCTATCTAAAATATATTTTTAATAGCGGTTAGTTCTAGAACCGCTATCTAAACCCAAGTTGCATTATTTGGCTAAACGTCCAACGCAGTTAGCCACATAACGCAAATTGGGTCACCACATATTTTAATCACTTATCGCTCAAGCGAAATATCTGTCGCTTGAGCGATAGTTGACCAGAGATAACTGCGTTCTTACGGATTTCCTCGCTCAAGCGAAGGGTTTCTTCGCTTGAGCGAGAGTTCATTGCGCGAAATAATATTATTTTAATACGTGAACAGTAAACAGTTGCGCAAAATAATATTATTTTATTACGTGAATAGTAAACAGTGCTAGTTGTGTAAATAAAGTTGCAGAGGTGCTATTTTGGAAAATATTTTTGAAAATAGTATTATTTATGAAAAAAAAGCAAAGGATGGAGTGAATCACATTTTTTATTATAAACCAAGTTATATTTGGTTTAGCTTAATTGATTGTTGGTGTAATATTTATATTTGAGTGACCTAGGTTTATTCTAGGTAGGAAACCTTGTCGTACACAGAAAGGTACTTGGACCTACTTCAACCAGTATTATTGTGTAGTTTCTACTTTACATTTGATTTATATGAAGGAGTATGTTATAAACCTCCTAATTCTTCTTTCTGGTCATGAATAAAAATAAGTCTCGTTTTTCACTTGTGACAGGACAAAAGAAATTGAAGTTATTCAAAACACATCAATCATTAATTTTTTTCTTGAATATTATAACTTTTTTGTCGAATACAACACAAGCATGAGACAATCTTTTTAATAGGCATTTTAGCCTGACAAGAGTAAACATGGCTAACACAAAGCAAATATCTTTATTTAAAGGCCCAACTAGCAAGCCCAATTGATAACCAAGGTGGGCAGGGAAAGAAAGCCCAGTACTTTAATTTTTATTTCTATTCCAACAACATTTATACACGTGTTTCGTTTCGCCACATAAATTAAATTTCAGAAATTATTACTTTTGCAACCTTTCTTACAGAAATTCGAAAATTATATATTTCGAAAGTGTGGAAAAGTTTATATCCTTCTAAATTTAAATTTTTTTAAACTCATTTTTACTTGAGATTGATGCTTTTTTAATTTGTTTTATAACAAGTGTTGTATATACAAAATGTACAACTGAAATGAGTGGATGCATATTATACTTTTAAAATAGTTGTTCCCCTTATGTGACCGAGTTGATGGGTTGGACGTTTAATGAGTCAATAAGTTACGAAAAGATTATGAAAATCTAATCTAAAATTTTACATCTAACTTAAAAGTACGCGAGGAACAACGGTTGGATAAGGGTAATTGACCCACGTTATGAAATTGAATCAGAAATCAAATCAGGTTTTGCTGTCTCCCACACTGGTCTTGCCTAGTGCTAATGTCCACTATTGATGCTGAGGGACAAATGAACGCCAAAAGTATTGAGTCTAAACCATCGATGCACATAATTTAAGCATGTTAAATCTTGAAAAAAAATGGGCCAAAAAGGTAATTCCAAAAGCCAAATTTTCATGTTTAAGCATGAGAAGAGAATGTGTAGCCATCAGATTCGCAAACATTATGAAGAGTAAATTTAGCAACAAAGCTAAAAGTTCTTGCGTAAGAGAGAGTGGATCTGACAGATGATTATGGTATGATCACGTTCTGCTACATGATAAACTAACCGATTATCTGGTGGTCATAAAATTATTGAAGACAATTAAAATCACATATTTTTAATTATTGAAGGACTGAACCTATTTTAAAAATACATACACTAAAATCTCAAGTTTGATCGGGAAAAAACATACTTCTCCCAAAAGTCATCTTTGAAGAAGCATGATTAATTACGTCAAATACAACTTGAAGATGTATTTTATCTCAACATCATCATTTTACAGTAGCTTTAAGTACTCGATAATATGATTCAAGAAAGACAATTTAGTTCGATTAGCATGTATTACATCATCATTTTCTGCATTTATTTGCAATCAATATCCACGAATCTTCTTTCTTGATGACAAAAGAACTAATGAAAACTTATATTTGTTGAACCTTTCCACAGAGATTTAATATCATATACCAGAAACAACTAGTATTATGGCTCCAATTCGCCACGTAGTGTAGATTTTTTGGTTCTGACGCAAACATGATGCAGATCCTATTGTTGGAAATCAACTGGAAAAGACTCATAATTGAATCACGACATGGAATTTACATTAACCATCATTTTGCTTCGAAATTGCTTCAAAACGTGCAGAACAGACTGAATACTAATTATGCAGACACCCACGTTAACGACCCCTTGGCCTGACAATGAAAAACGGTAAAAAATTAATTGTTCTATGACAAAGATATTTGTCTATGTATCAGAACACTAATAATGTCACTAAGAGTGACACTAATCAATGAGAGGCAAGGTGATTATTATGCTAGGAATAAAATTGAACCAAGTAGAAGGGTTTGAAACAAATTGGAGGTGGTCAAGGAGACACATGTAACAGAGAATGTTTCTGGTCCCGGAGCCTACAAAGTATGACTAAACATGCACTGGGACATAACTGTTCTCTACTGCACCAAAAATAGGGATGGCAATTAATCTCTGTGGGGACCGACATGCTCCCACCTGATAGAAAAAATCTGAGTTGATCGAGACGTGGGCAGAAGTGGGTTCGGGTTTTCCCGGTGGGTATGGGTAATGCAATCCCCACCCCGACCTCGGTCCCGTCCCGACTTTATATTTAAATTTAAATTTTAAAATATTAATATTTTAAAAGTATTTTCTTTTCTTTTTCTATTACATATAAGGTCATTTTTTATATTTTACCAATTTTTATTTTTCTTCTACCTATTTTTTAATCTTTTATATCAATTAATTTATTATATTATTCTCTCTTATACTTTGCAGTTTTTCATATTTCTTTAATCTCTCTCATCAATTTTTTTTTCAATCTTTTCAATCAATTTGATGAACACAGTTAATTTTTTATTCTTTATCTTTTTCTAAATATTTTACATAAATCTTAATAGTAACTAATATTATTTTATTTATAATTTATATTTATTAGGTTTTATTATGTCATTTATTTATCTTATTATTCTTATTTATCATATATCAAATTTTATCTTAATAAAATAATTGTATTTTAAAATATTAAAAGAATTGATAATTTAAATTTTTATTACTTTAAACTAATTGAATAATAATTAACTTATTAAATATTTCATTATAAACTATATATTTCATATTTTTAAATGACAACTTAAAAATGAATTAACTTATATATATAATCAAATGTTTGAATACGAGTATTATAATATTAACAATGATAATGTTATAAGTATTCAAATATTTGAATACGATATAATAATAATAATAATAATAATAATAATAATAATAATAATAATAATAATATTATTATTATTATTATAAATAAAAAATGATTAAAGATTTATTTTACATACATATTTTAATATAAATATAATAAATTAAAATGTATATTTAATTAATAATTATTATAAATTATAAAATTATAAATATTTATTTATATATAAAAAATAGATAATAAAAATAATTTATTATAAATGTAATTATTTTTTTAAAAATAATATAAAGACGGGATGGAAACGAGAAACCTAAAATATAACAAACACAAGAATCAAAACTTAATTTTTAAGCCTGACTATCAAACTCAAAGATGAGGATGATTAAAAAAAGTCGGCCGACCGCAACCGTCCCACCGACCTTGTTGCCATGCCTAACCAAAACTAGATATGCTTTTAGGACCTTCAAGTGATAATTTATTCGAGGGTTTTCTGAAAACAACCTTGCCTGCAAAGAAAGTCTAATGTACTCTAATGAATTAATGACTACATATATAATAGTAGGAATTGCCTCTGTCAAGTGCAATATCTATTCTATTTCTAGTAATTAAGCTTTTCAGTCATACCTCTATTTAATTCTTCTGTGATGGCAGGATATGTAGCATCACTGCGTATGATGTTTTCTTGATTGAAAAAATCAATAAAAATAAAAAGTCATTATTGTTCATCACCATGAGCGGAAGCACAATAATGAATGACTTCTATTACTGCTGCCTATTTGAATTACAAACAAATCCCAAGGCGGATAACTTTTTCTGCTGGCCAATGTCATAAAATTTCAACACGATGAAAGAAAAAGCATGGGAGAAAAAAAGAAGGGAATTTTTGTACCTAATAATGAGAAATAATGTTTTTATCAAGCTTTTTATAGCTTTAATTAAAGGTTAAAACTGAAGCAACTTTATGCTTTTACCTGTTTATTCTGTCTGTGTTTGATATTAATTACAAGAAAAAAAAAACAAAAACAAAGAAAATGTAGGATGTTGTGTTCTTTCGGTCTAAAATAAAACTATAAAATATGCAATTAGATTAAAAAAACGCAAAGTTAAGGGAAATAAGAGAGACAAGAAAACAAGAATGAAATGTAAAATAGTTCTATTGTCTAAGAGTAGTTGAAAATAAATACAAAACTCATTAAACTAACCGTTATAGTGTGATTCACGTGTGTAAAACGTTATAAAATGTTTGGTATATGTTTCAACGTAGGTGAAATACATGGGTAGATTTTCAATTTTAACTATTAAATTTTATTATTCAAATATTTGTAAATCTAGACTCTATTCTCTCCTTAACTATCTCCTGTTGCATCTTGAAAAATAAAAAAATCAACATTTTTTATTGACAAAAAAGAAAATTAATTTTAAAAAACCATCTAAACAAATAATTTTTTTTAAATTAAAATAATATATTTTTTAATAAAATCTTAAAGATGGTTCTTTAGAGGACCATGAGCTCAATAAGCCCCCCTCCTTCCGCCGTTGAACTTCCTCTTAATTCAATTCAAAGCTTATATTAAAATGTTTCATAACGTTGGTATTATATATATATATATATATATATATATATATATATATATATATATATATATATATATATATTAGTTGTTGGATCTTTTAATCTTAGAATTTTGACTTGATTTTGTATTCAATTAAAATTTTAAAATATTTTTTACATTATCTAGATTTAAAAAAAATTGTAGGAACGTAATAATTTTTAAAATATTTTAATGATTAAGATTTTGTAATTTGGATTTTAAAGAGTTTATGAAACATAAATTTAATTAATCTTAATTAATACACTAGATGAAATTAATGTTAACTTGAATATATTTAATTGTAATCATAATACACTGTATCAAATTAATCTTTTAAAATAAAATTGAATTACAATATTACTTTAATTTAATCCATCAAAATTTAATTTAATTTTTAAAAGTCATATCATTTGTAATTATTCTTATTTAACATAACAAAATATTTATTATCAATAATAAAAATATGTACTCTTCTATTTATTATTTGTTTTTACAATTTGCAAATGTCAGAATTGAGCATCAACTAGGGAAGGGGAAGAGAAGGATGTAACTTATACTATTATTTAATGTGTTACTTAAATTATGTAAAAAATAAATAAGGTTACAAAATTCACCACTAAAAATTCTCATTGCAATTTTTTTATAAAAATTTATAAGAAATAGGTTTTCTACAAATTTAAATAATTTGTTATAAAAAAAAAGTTGCATAAAAAAGGTTGCTGAAAATAGTAGGGATTATTCTAAACCTTTTCAGACTTTGCAAGTTGCAACTGGTCTCCAAGGCCTTAGAGAAGCTTTTGTGTGATGCATATATCAGTATATATACACTACAACTCCTCAACTCCTCCTCCAATCCTTTCGAATCTCAACCCAGGTCTACCTCCCACTCACAGTACTGAAACCCATCTCGAGAAAAGAAAACAAGTACCAACCTTAAGTTGGAGATATCGATTGGGAAGACAAGAAAAAATGGCATTGGAGAAAGAGGTTGAAACTGTCATAGTTGGGAACTATGAGGAAATGGAAAGTAAAGGGAAGCCTAGGGATATAAAATCCAGGTTATTAAGCTTGTTCTGGCATGGTGGCTCTGTTTATGATGCTTGGTTTAGCTGTGCTTCCAACCAGGTTGGTTTCCCAAAATATATAATTTTTTTTCTTCTTAACAAGTTACATTATTAACTATAACAGCTTATGCAGCCAAAATAACAAATCTTGTAACAACAAAAGGCCTTATGATCCATTCCTTGGATATAGATTCGATTTTTACATGTTTATTTTTCATATATGTTTATGTCAGGTGGCTCAAGTTCTGCTTACGTTGCCATGCTCATTTTCCCAGCTGGGAATGCTTTCTGGCACCCTTTTTCAACTCTTCTACGGCTTGCTGGGTTGCTGGACTGCTTACCTCATTAGCGCACTCTACGTTGAATACAGAACCAGAAAAGAGAGAGAAAAATTTAATTTCAGGAACCATGTCATCCAGGTCCAACTCTCCCACTTTTCAAATCTAAATACTGCTTCTCCTTTGGTCTTTGCAACTTCAATGTTTCTATTTTAACACAACTTAAGTATTTCAGTGGTTTGAGGTTCTTGATGGGCTCCTAGGGAAGCACTGGAGAAACGTTGGTTTGGCCTTCAACTGCACATTTCTTCTCTTTGGATCTGTGATCCAACTCATAGCTTGTGCAAGGTATCATATCATCTAACTTCAACTGCACATTTTTATTTGGGCTAGTAACATGGTTAACTTTTACGCAGCAACATATATTACATCAATGATAATTTGGATAAGAGGACTTGGACTTATATCTTTGGAGCATGCTGTGCCACCACCGTGTTTATCCCTTCCTTCCACAACTACAGAATCTGGTCCTTTCTTGGTCTCCTCATGACCACTTACACTGCTTGGTACCTCACTGTTGCCTCTCTCCTCCACGGCCAGGTAATAATTACAGATTTGCAGATAAATAACTACGGTTTACTCCTACTATATTACGAGATGAATCATTATATTTGTTAGTGGTTGCTTTAATAACATGCCATGTTGATGTTATTATGATTGTGTAGGTGGAAGGGGTTAAGCATTCGGGTCCTACTAAATTGGTTCTATATTTTACGGGGGCCACAAACATTCTCTACACATTCGGAGGACATGCCGTTACTGTGTAAGCCTGATGTCTCATCTCATCTATCATTCCTATGAATAGTATCTTTTACGTTTTGACAACTTTTTTTTTTTTTTTTCCTTATCCGATTTTAGCTTCGTTAGAAGGCATATATGAATGTTGTTAATGGGATAATTCTTGTCTAAGTTTATTCCACTGAGATCGATATCATATTATGCCAACTTATTTTTTTAGTTATTAACTGTCAATTGTTCGACTCGTATGCATTATGCAATTATTTCTTACTAACGAATGCTAAATTCGGTGCATTGGGGCTAAATGTCATTTTGTTTATACAAAAGCTTGACTTTTTATACACGAGTTGTCACAATGTAGCCCTTCGCCATCTTAAGTCCTTTTCCCATTGATTTTCCTTTTATTTTATTTTTAAACTTTAAGAACAAAATGGTAACTTTGTCGAGTATCAAAATTCTTATGCGGACGTGTGTTTCAAATGTTGTATATTTAGTTTTCCAAAGAGAAAAAAGATGCTGTTTCGCAGGCATGGAAAGGAATTGCCCTTTTCTGGGGAATCCTTGAGCTTCTTTTTGGTTGTAGAAAGCCGAGGTTCTTTCTGTAAATGGATCAGCTTTAATGCTTTTTTATCATGAGGACAGGAGAATTCCAGCTTTACTTGTGGCAACTTTCAGAATTTTAGCACAGCTGACACAGTAGAACAAAACATTAAGCCAAAAGTTTCCCCTTTAGTGTACTCTTCACTCTTTTTTTTCTACCTAAAAATGAGTAAAGTCCCACGCTGCTTTTAATTAATAGTGTAAACTTGAATCCTTAAACTTAATTCTATAAAATGTATCTATTTGAATGTATTTGATTGAAAAAATAGTATTTGTAGAAGAAAGTTTAGAAGGAAGAGAAAGAAAGAAAAGACGGGGAAAAAAAGTATGAAATGACGAATGTTTTGGTGACATGGGACAGGGAGATAATGCATGCGATGTGGAAGCCTCAAAAATTCAAGTACATATACTTACTGGCTAGCCTGTATGTGCTGACGCTGACGCTTCCATCGGCAGCTGCAGTGTACTGGGCATTTGGAGACATGCTTCTAAATCACTCCAACGCCTTTTCTCTCCTTCCAAGGTCCCCCTTTCGTGACATGGCTGTCATTTTAATGCTCATCCACCAGGCAAGAATTAGCTAACTAACATCTCTGTTTCATTATCCGTCTAATTAATAACAGTGAATTGGCATTTCGATTGGGTGGTGCAGTTCATAACATTTGGGTTTGCATGCACGCCACTGTATTTGGTGTGGGAGAAAGCATTAGGGATACACGAGTGTAGGAGCCTCTGCAAACGTGCTCTTGCCAGATTACCAGTGGTGATCCCCATATGGTTTCTGGCCATCGTCTTCCCCTTCTTCGGGCCCATCAACTCCACCGTTGGATCTCTTCTTGTCAGCTTCACCGTTTACATCATTCCCGCCCTCGCTCACATCTTCACCTTCAAATCACCCGCTGCTCGCCAGGTACCATCTCTTAGGTTTCATTTTTCTTTTATTCATTATTCTCTGTTGAGAGTTCAAACGTGTGATTTAGTCTTTTAATTTCTATCGTAATTAAGTTGAGCAAATTTCAATTGCAAATGAATCATATTTGCTAAATTTTGGATGATTTGAATTTGCAAAATTAAAGTTCGAGATACAATAACTATATACACAAGACCATTGCAGCGCTTAAAGCCTTAAAAACAAATATCATCATATTCAGTTCATCATTGGGATGTAGCAATACGATTCTGGAAAGCATGCATTTTTATTTGATTGTTGATGGATTGCAATGCAGAATGCGGTGGAACAACCTCCGAAGTTGGTGGGAAGATGGGCAGGTGCATACACGATCAACGTATTTGTGGTGGTGTGGGTTGTAGTGGTAGGGTTTGGATTCGGTGGATGGGCGAGTATGGTTAACTTCATACACCAGATTGACACATTCGGCTTCTTCACCAAATGTTACCAGTGCCCCTCACCCACCTCCGTCCACCCACCACACCTCAACGCAACCGCGCCTTCTCCTCGCGCTCATTAACACTTGCATGAACTTTATTTCTAGTAATTGATTGGAGGAGATCATTTGAGTTACGCAGCTTAATAACTGAGAGTTAATGAAGGAAAAAATTAGACAGGACAATGGGAGGCATTTGACGCTAAACGTATGTAGCAACTCTGCCTAGAGTAGAGGAGAGGATGATTTTGGTGTTTTTTTCCCAGGTTGTAATGCAAAATATTCTACTAAAGGCAAAACCATTTCAAGAGAGAGTTCAAAGGGAAGTGAAAGTGAGTTAATAATCTATATCCTAAGAAGTCTATTGCAATTACTTACAATATAATATTTGAGATTTATCATAGTGAGATTCTCTGTAGGAATTAAATGGTCTATCAATTACAAAAAGAATTTGAAGCAATAACTGAACCAGTAACTTTGTTATGACCTCAATCAAATCAGAGAAAAACCATAACAAATGGTAAAACAAATACCGAGAATGGAGAAAATATGATCAAACGGATTAAGTTCTGCGGGGTCACCTTATTAGCCCGCTTTCTGGTCACCCAAATTCACATTTCTCATAAGTCACAATTTATAATTATTATTTAAATATATATAAATATGTGTTTATATATATTAAAATAAATTATATCTTAAATATTAATATTAATAATACTACTAATAGATAAAATAATCCATATTTATTATTACTATATTTATAATTTTTTATTATAATAATAATTAATAATAAAAATATTAACAAATATAACTATAATATATAAATAGTAATTATAATAAATAATAAATTTACAATAATAATAATAAGTATTAATTATTTTATGAAAGCAATGAGGGGGAGATTGATGAAAATGTTCTTGGATTCCCAAGAGATGATTTTGATGATGATTCAAGTCAACTACATTTAAGTCAACATCATTCAAGATGAATTTAAGGACAAACTGAATTTATGACGTAGGTGATAAAGATGATGATTCCTGAAGACTAGATAGAGTCTTAGAATACTAGATATGAAGGTACAAGTTGATGAAGTAATATTATGCATAAACCTCTAAAGCACAAGTGTGATAAAATTCATAACATGATATTTTTCACTGTCTTAATTAATTATGATGCACCAGAAATGGAAAATGATTTTCTCTATCATAATTAATTATACTGGTAATATAATCAATTATGACAATTCAAATTTGAAAAATATATTCATTTTAAAGAATAAATGTTTTTTAATACATCCCGATTTTCTCTATGATATTATTAATGTCCAACGACCATTTTCTGATGCTATTTTTCTATTTAATTAAGTTTTGATGAAAAATCAAAAACACACAATTACAGAATTCGAAAATACAATTTACATTCAATCAATTTTGAGAAAAGAATTCTGAGCAAGGCAATAGAGATATTTTACACCTTTTGAGAAAACCCTCTTCTCCACTGCCTTCTGTGCTTTCATTATTAATCACACTTGTTCTTGGAGATTGACATTCTACAGGCTTCTACAATTTGTTGTCTCCATTACCCAGGTGTGTCTATTCTTATTTTTATTACCTTCATCCCTAGTGTGATTCTAGGGAGGTGTTCATCCTTAGTGTGATTCTAGGGAGGGGTTCATCCTTAGTGGGATTCTAAGGAGGTGTTTTCATCCTTTGATTTGTTCAGAGGAGGTGTTCATCCCTAGTGGGATTCTAGGAAGGTGTTCATCCTTAGTGGGTTTCTAAGGAGGTGATTGTCTTTTTAATTAGTTTACTTTTTACTGGTTCTTCTGCTGAGTTGATTGTAATTTGTAAACTGAATTTGAAAGATAGTGAATGAGGAGTCACTCTTGTGTTCGAGTTGATCTGGAAGCTGGATGTAGGGTTGACTATACCCGAACCAAGTATAAATCTATGTGTGTTCTTCTCTTTCTCTTATCTCTTTCTCTTTTCTCGATTATATTATTGTTTCCGCTTTAACAAATTATTGACTCATAAATAAATTTTTAATTTGACATCTATTTTAATTTGTGCATTTATTCACCCCCTCTAGATGTCATTTGTCTAACATTTTATTTATGAATATTTTTATTATTAATATTATTTTTATTTTACTATTAATATCATAATTAATTTGATTATTTATTATTAAAATTATCATAATTGTTTTTTATTAATCATAAAGTTTATGATAATAATAATAACATTAAAAACTAAAAAAAATTATGAAGTAATTGTTACTATTAACTAATTAAAAAGATTCATAAATTAAATAATTAACACTTACTATTATTAATTTATTATATTTATTATTTATTATCATCATTATTTTTTATTTTTTTCTCAAAATTTTTATTGATAATCATTTTAATGTTATTATCATAATAATAATAATAAATATTAAGTATTTTATTTATTAATGATAATAAGAAAATAATAATATAAAAATCAATAATATATACATATATAAAATTAAATTGTATTCTTTACAAGACAACAAATATTAAAAAACATAAAAAAAAATATTTGAATGGTGTTTCTTAATACGATTTTAGTATTAAAAAAAAAACATGATATTTCCGTTGTAAAATCGTTCTATCAAACATAATTTACTTATTTGTATGTTTTTTTTTTTAATTTATCCAAATCATAAATTTAAAAATAACACATTTTGCTACTTCTACATCTCAATCTTAAATCTCTCAACAAATAAATAATAGAGTCATACTCAAGAAATTATCCACGATAAAAACTTAACTTAGAGAATCAAATTCTCAATACAATCAATCTCACAAAAATAAATTATATTTATAATTCTTAAAAGTGTGTAAAAACTTTCTATATATACGGTGATAAAAGTTTTTAAAGGTGTGAAAAGATAAATAAAACAAATCATAAGTAGGGAAAAAAATTATGAGAGCCAAAATTAGGTAAAAAAAATGGAAAAGAACTTAAAACTTTATAGATTCAAATAATAATGAGACAGTTAAATCTTCAATTTCTAATATTTATAATTAGTATTAGTTCATGACACTTAACAATTTATTTGAAAATATGCTAAAAGTTTTGAGAAATTTCTTCTCATACTTAAAATAGAACAATTAAATTTTATTTTATTTTTCAGTTCTTAAAATAGAACAATAAATACTAAAAGATATTGAAAATAATATATATAAAGATTAAAAAAAACAAAACCATAGGTAGAAAGTAGTAGTTTTAAATAAAATAGTAGTTAAATTTAGTTGTAACATTTCATTGATTAAGGTTGTGTTGTTAGAAAGAGATATGGGTTGGAGTGCAATAAATAAAGGAGGGTTAAAATTGAGAGACAAGGATTCCCCTAGTCCGATTGGAGAAAGGCAATCTGGGCCGTTGGTTTAATTTTTCAATGTTGAGAAATGAAAGAAAATAGAAGAAGAAAAAAGCAGAGGCGTTGGATGATGGAATGCGTGAAAGTTAAGTGTAGGTCAAAATTGTGTAATATAAAACGCAAAAGGTGCAGAGCAGTTTGAGCCGTATAGCAGAGAGTGACGCAGGGAGAGATCAGATCCGAAGGGGAGAGAGAGATGAGTGAGAGTGAGAAGCAGAGGGTAACCGGAAAGGTCAAGTGGTTCAATGATCAGAAGGGATTTGGCTTCATAACCACCGACGACGGCGGCGAGGATCTCTTCGTACACCAGTCCTCTATCCGATCCGACGGTTTTCGCAGCCTCGCCCTCGGGGAGTCCGTCGAGTTCCTAATCGACTCCGATTCCGAAGGCCGCACCAAGGCCGTCGACGTTACCGGCCCTGACGAATCGCCCGTGCTGGGCACCCGCGGTGGCGGAGGAGGCGGTGGGGGAAGAGGTGGCTACGGCGGACGAGGCGGATATGGCGGAGGTGGACGCGGCGGACGAGGTGGATATGGAGGAGGTGGCGGATATGGTGGAGGTGGCTATGGCGGAGGTGGTGGATATGGTGGTGGTGGTGGTGGTGGTGGAGGAGGGGGTTGCTATAAGTGTGGCGAGACAGGTCACATAGCAAGGGACTGCAGCCAAGGTGGCGGTGGCGGTGGAAGGTATGGCGGAGGTGGCGGCGGCGGTGGGAGCTGCTACAACTGTGGGGAGTCTGGGCACTTTGCAAGGGACTGCCCTTCGAATGCGCGCTGATATAGTAAGCACATGATGGGTGGGGCCTTGCTTTTGTGTTTTATGGTTCATTTTTTTTTTTTCTAATCCGAAGATTACCCTTTAGAAATAGGGTTAGCTAGGGTGTGCCTTCTCTGCGTTTTGTTTTATTTTTTACATTAAAAGCGATTAGTTGCTTGGTTTATTATTGCTTTGTTTTTGGGTTAGGGAAAGGAGGGTTTGTTTTGGTGAGGTTCTGAAATCATCGGCTAAATACTCTGTTTCCTACTGTTTATTGCGCATCGTGAACGTGCCTTACCTTAATGTTTAAATCTTCAAATGCCTGGTTTGCATTTATCATGCTCCTGTTCTTTCCATACTTTTTTTACATACTGTTCTGTTACTCAATTCTTATGTTTGTGAGGATCTTCATTCATCTTAGAAAAGTTAAAAACTCACAGAGGTTTAGACAGGGGAGACAACAAATTTCACATATAACTTCTGGATTTGATTTAGACTTAAACCTTCTACATTATAAGAATGTCAAGATGAAAAGCTGACATTTTATTTCCAGTTTGGCCAATCAATGTTCTAATGTTAAATACTACTACTACTACTAACATTCTTAAAAGGGTTGTTGCATTAACTAACAATCACCTCATTTTTGCATTTATCCGTGCATGCATTGAGATGAGAATGGGGATGGCGGAAATTCTTCATGGATCAGTGGATATGGGTTTCGTGGGCTAGGAGTGTAAGATGTATTGAAAGATTGAAAATATTTGAATGGTATTTAACAAGACATCATAATAGGTTAGTGTAATTGTTTCAAATTTTGGAAAAACGAAATTTGAGTTGTGAATATGGGTTCCGATGGGTGGGAGTGATATAGATCTTAAAATTGATGAGATTGTTTATAATCTTTAACTCCTAGATATTGACACGTTGAAGTAAAATTTTAGTTGTTTCAAATAATATTTTAAAGGAATTTTGTGTTATGACTGAAAATGAGATAAAATGAATTTTTCGAAAATTATTAAAAAAAAGTTATATTTAAGTAAAATCAAATCATGAGTTGTATATAATAGTATGTGAGAAATAAAATAGATTGGTATTATTAAAATTGAATAATAATATTTTATGTATTTATAATGTTTTTTCTTTACCAAATACGGTTGCATTTGAAATGGGACGTGTTGCTGTAATGGCTATTGTTTTAAAAAAATAGTTATAATTAGTGTGCAAAATACCTGCATGCCACATTTTAATTAACTTTTAAAGTAACCAACGCTAGCTGACATCCCTTTGTTTTTTGTTTTTTTTTCCGACACTTTTTTTGTATGTTTCTTTTTAAGGAAAAGTTATTATGTCTACAAACAGATGCAAATGACATCAAAAAAAATTTATATATTTTTATGTGCAATAAATAAATCATCAGGGGAATAAGTCAGTACTCACTCAAAACTAAACATATAAAGCTAAAATGTGTTAAAAGATATTTTATGATTGGAGTTACTATTAGTTGAACAAGGTTTCATTACCCTATAATAATATATATAAACAAAAATAGTTAATGTTCAATCTTTATTTTTTTTAAACTTATCTAATTATGACCAATTTAATATAGTTGTTTACATTTTTAAATTTTAGATAAAAACATGATGGAATGTACTAAAAATTCCATAAAATCCAGATCTAAGCAACAGGATCTTCTATACATAATTATTGACGAATTTAAACACTATTCGTATTTATTTTCTTTTTTTTAAATCTTCATTTCTTTTCTATGATTTAGGAAGATGCTAGAGCAACACGTTTCATGCAATAACAAGTTGCACACGTAAAAAAACTAATATTATAATAATATTGAGATAGAAAATATTCATTATATCCTAAAATATAATTTTTTTAAGTTTTTTAAAAATATAATGTTTTAAAAATCGCTTAACCGATTAAAACATAAATGGTGGATTTAAAGGTTAAATTGGAGTTTAATCAAATATAATTAATTTAATAAAATAATATTTGTAAATATAAATATATAATAAATTTGTTAATAACAATTATTTTTTATAAAAGAAAAAAATAATTTTTTTATTATACTCATAAAAAATGATAAAATAAAATGAAAATATAATAAAATAATAATTATTTAAAATAAATGTGATTTGAAAAAAAACGTTGTGTATCACGTGTCTACTTAATTATCATTTGGTTTAAGTAAGATAATGAGTTTTGATTTAAGGTTTTTAGATAATTTAGAAAAAAAAAACATTTTACAAAATTTATTTTTAATTTTGGTAAGATAAGTGAATTATATAGTAAAATATTGTATCATTTTTTTAAAATGACTAATTTATATTCATAATGTTTTTTATATAAAAATAATTTTAAAATATTCACATGTTAACGGCATATCATACATACGATGATGTTACCAAGAATCATGACCAAATCTTTTGTTTAAAAATATCCGATATAACTTAAGAAAAGGTTTTGTATAGATATATTTTATTTTTAACAAAAGAAGATGAGCCTATGTTGATTTGAGAAGCTTCTAGTTACCTCAAAAAACATTAACGGCCAAACTGTACTCCTAGCTACCTTCTACCTCTGTACTTGTCACCTTTTTCTCAGGCACTCATGTTTTTGTGTGCCCATCATCATACTCACATCATTTCCACGTAAGTCTTTGAGACTTCTCCTTCCATCTACACATTATATTACAATATTTTTATATTTAATTCATCAGCTATTTAATATTATATAATACTAAAAATAAGAAGTTTATTTGTTGTGTAATTGACGTTGATTATTTTGAATTGTTATTTGTTTTATATTGTAGGTTGGAGTAATCTTATTCCCCCTCCCCCATTCTCCATTCACCTTACAAGTAGAAGGGTTCCTGTATTTGGAAGCAAATGTTTCCTGAATAAACAACAAAATTTTGTTTTAAGAAAGTCCACACGAACACAGCGTGAATGAATAAAATATTTAAAAAGAAAAAGTTTTTATACGCAACAAAAACAATGTAGGACCCGGTTACAATAATTCTTCCTTCTTTAATCTCCTTGGACCAAAAATGAAAGAACTAGAAATCTGAAAATTCCTTCTCCTTCCATAATTCATCCTCCCCTCGTCATGGTCCTGGATAAACAACAAAGAGCTGATGCAGGAGTACGATGGTAAAAATGTGAACCCAAAAAAACAGAACAAATTTTCCCAAGGAAACGAGGACAGGATAGAAAAGTTAATTATACAAGCTTTGCTATGGAGATATTCTATTGGATACAAAAGATGTGCCTAGATTAATTAATTTGAGAAGGGCGAGAACCCTAGAATATATACACTCATGCAATCCGTAAAAATAAAAGAAAACGCAAGAAAGTTAGAGATTTGATCGTTGTGAAGGGAGGTATATACGTTTGTAAATTCAGCGGAATCCTCTAACTCTTGACTGATAGAGTTCGAGCCTACTCTTGGCTTCTGGTAGGATCTGTTGGATGGCGTGTACATCGATGAGATGAGCCTGCTTGGTGCACCACTCCAGAACAATGAGCACCTCTTCCTGCGCCAGCGTCTCGCTCTTGGGGACGTGGAGCGCTATGTAACAAAGGAGAGAGACGGAAGGAATCTGAACCATTTGTTCCCCGAAGTAGACGAGTTGAATCAAGTGCTTGGCGCCCCCAGCCGCTATGATGGCGTTGCAGTGATTCTCGTGGAGGTAGTTGTCAGTGCAAGCAAATTTGTTGAGCGCAATGGCGGCTTCCATGCAAACATTGGGTTCTCTCTCGTCAAGGAGCCTCACCAATGGCCCAACCAGTCTTGTTTCCGTGGCTCTGAAAGTCCTCGCCAAACTACCAATTGATCTGATGCAAGGTATGAGCAGTTCAATCTGTTCTCTTTCGATTACTTTGATGAGCTGATCCACAACAGCCTTTGCGGCAGGGGAAGTGGGTTTGAAAGCAGAGCGTCTCAGCTCTGAATGCTGCTCCGCCATAGCCGTTATTTCCATCAACGCCATTGCAGAATACGATTGCACGTCTTCAGGACCCTTTTCCAGCAAAACCGCAAAACACAAAAGAGCCCTCGACTCGGTTATGCTCCTACACACAGTCAAGTTCCCCCTCGCCATTTGCCATAAGGCTCTAGCTGCCATCGCCTTCATCTCTGCCTTCGTAATCGGATCTTCGAATTCCCTCCCCTTGATACTCGTCCCAGCGATCGACACGTGCGAGGTCCCACTCTGCTGCTGTTGTTTTTTCGCGTTTGTAGCGTTGCCGTTGTGGTTACCCGTCGCAGTGGCAACGCCAACATTTCCTTGGCCCATACCCTTCATGGCCATGGTGTTGGAAACCACGTTGTGCATCTGAGTGGAAGATATCTGAGCCTCCATTGGATGAATGGCGGCCTGCTTATCATCATCCTCTTCATGCGCGTTGGGTGCATTACTCTGCAAAACTAAGGAGTGAAGGGACTTGTGCTGCTTGTTCGCAATAGCGTACTTGCTATGCTCTTGAATTGTCTCGAAGGCGAGATGGCTAACGAGCAAGCGTATGGCGTTGTTTTGAGAGAAATGATCCTGGCATTTGGGGTGATTGGCGGCGAGTTCAGAAATAGCCCAGGCCACCACCGCCTGAACCTTCATGTGACCGTCTTTGAGGATTTTGGCAAACACGGAACAAACACCGGCGTTCACGATGTGCTCCACGCTTTCAGGGTCTTTCCCGAGAAGCCCAATGGCTCTGGCAGCGTTCTCCTGACCTTCCATTTGCCCTTCCTTCAGAAGCTTCAGCAGCGGGGGGACACCACCCTCTTCGATGATGAGTTTCCCGTAACGGTCGTTGTCGCGAGCGAGGGAAACCAAGGAAGCCGCGGCGTCGGACCGATCTTCCGGGGACGCACTGGAGAGGAGAATGGCCACCTGCTCCCAGATGAGGCAGAGGATGGGTTCGTTGGCGGCGATGGGGGGGAGGCCGAGGTACTCGTCGTCGCGCTCGTCAGCGTTGGCCGAGACGCGGAGGAGCCACTGGACGTCGCCGACGGAATTCTCGAGCTGCATTGAGGTCTTGCGAAAGGCGGTGGTGGGGATGATGGTGAACAGTCTTTTGATGAAACTGTTGGCGCGGCATTTGGTGACGAGTACGAGGGCCTTGTCAAGGACTTGTTCGGTGTCGTCGATGATGCGGCGCGTGGGACGCTCGTAGAGGTCGTTGCTGTTCCTCGCGGCCTGGCGAAGGAGCCCCGCGAGCTTCTCCGTTTTGGATTTGAGCTCGAGACATTCCTGCCGGAAATTCTGGACCTCCTCTGCCATCTTCGATACCTGGTCCGCCATTTGTATCGGGCTCGCCAGGATCTCCTTGACGATGCTCGACATGGTTGCAGCGGACCCTCACGCTCTGGCTAGCGACCAAACAACGTTTCGGAGTGATTAAGAATTTTATTTGGTTGTACGAGATTCCTTTCTCAGAGCTGGTGGTTTGGCTCCGGTGATGATTGGGTCAGGAAGGCGTGGCGGTGATGGTGGCGCCGCCGGGGGAGAGTGAGTGAGGGGAGGAAATTATTATGGGAATGGTTCGACGGTTTTTTCTCGGAAGTTTTTGTGTTAAAAAGTGCCATAATAAGTTTGGGTTACATATAGCTACTGCAAATGGTTGGTCCAAACCTACCCATGACGTTTCAAGTACTGGGAAGGACAACTTCTCCTCTTCCCACACCCTATCTATCAGCGACTGCTTTCCACGCTCCCATCCTACGCCTTCTTTTTTTCCTAAATCCTACCTCACGTAGGGAAACTTGTTTCACGCGCCACGGACAATATTCCTGTTAACTTTTTAACCAACGCTTCTACGTCTTACACGCTGTGAGAAAGAGAAAAAGCTCCGTTACACTAATCATAAATAACTAGCTTTCAAGAATATTCTATGCACTCCATGCATTTCCATCTATAACTTTTATTTTTTATTTTAAGATATTATGATTTATGAATTTCTTGTTCCTATTTACATTTCCCTTGGTTCAAAAACCATCTTTCAATATTTCGTACAAATCCTAAAAACTTTTTTAATCAATTAAAATTAAATGCGTTTATATTTTTAAAATAGTAATATTAGATTTTTCTATCCTAAAAATTATGATCCAAATAGAAAAAAAAAGACAGTACCGTTGCTCGTAAATTTAGCCAAAAAATATGATAAAATTATAATTAAACAGTTGTAAATAAAAAAACTATAAATTAAAAAGGCGTGAAAAGGGTATAAAAGAGAAGTATTTTTAGAATAATATTATTTACCTATTGTTAGTGGCAAATCGAGAAAAGCGATCGAAATCGAAGGAAAGAAATGTGACTCGATAAGATAAATAAAAATTCATTCGATGTCTAATTAGAAATACATGGCATATAGCATCGAGAAGCACAATCGAGAATCGAACGAATAATAATCAAATGATTGTTGTCGAATAAAAACTAAGTCATGTAAGACCAGGGTTAAAAAGGAATCGTAAGCAATTCGAAGTTCTCGAAAAATACAGAATCGAGAGTAAGGAAAGTCAATGTGGACATCGAGACTTTGGCCAAATCGTGAAAGGAAGTAAGTCGAATGCACGTATAAAGAGCAGTTTTGAAATCATGGAAAAAAGTCGGAGATCGTGAAGAACGTGGGAAACTATAGAAGATAAACGGCCATACGCACGTAGAACGTGGTAGCAGTCGTGTTAACTGCTCTTGGAAGGCTTGAAGGATACCCTATAAATAGAGCAAAGGAGGAAGGAAAAAGGGGAGCAGAAATTGGCAGAGAACAGGATCAGTAGTGAAAAGTCTACCGGAGAAACGACGAACACCATGAAGCTTCTGGCAATCTGGATTTCCTTGCTCACTGAGTACATTTACCGCTTTCTGTATTTTCCTTGGTAATTTATTTTGATGCAACTTAAATTCAACAATTTTATGTTTCTGTATTCTCAATTCCTTGTCCATTTCAATTCAATGAAAATTTGAGTTTCTGCATTTAGATGTCCATGTTATTTAACATTCTGCAAATCTCAATTTCCTGTCATTTACTTTTCTTGCAATCTCGATTTCTTGTCATTTATATTTGCTTTGTTTTCGATTTCTTGCTATTTACAATTAATGCAAGTTTGGGGTTTTCGCACTTTACATTTCCTCGCAATTTAACATTCTGCTTTTTCGATTCGATAGTCTTAATGCTTTCGATACTTTAAATACAAAACACCAAAAACAGTTTTCTTGATATCTTATGATTTTCGATCCTCATACACATTTTCGATTGAAAGTCAGACTGCTAGCCTAAGTAAAAAGAACTTACGTGGGAGGATTTCGATTAAAGACCAAAATACCCTTAGAATCGAAATCGATCGAAATTCCACCAGAAACAAATTGGCGCGCCAGGTAGGGGTTGTCTTGTGTTGAGAAACACAAAATTGGTTAGTTCGAAATTGTATGAGATTAAGAAGTGGGAGGGTCATGAGTCAGAGTTCATCGAATAACCAGGGTAACAGTGAGGGATTAAATGGATCACACCCCCCAAATACTGGAGGACAAAGTCATAATGGGAACATACCTGTAGTATCGACAACTGTGAGCATGTCGATACCTGTAAGTAGTGAACAAAATTCAGGTACATTAGCAAACACCCAAGTAGGATCTAGTACGGTGATACCAAATAATATGCAAACTATAGGAAATCCCACAACCACATGTAGGGCCACGTATGAGTGTAAGACCGCCCGGGTTTTCACTTAATAATGTGAGTGGGGTTGGAACTTCTTCAACGCATAGGAATTCGAGATATAACTTAGGAATGTCCCAAACACTAGGTATGCCACAAAATTTTGGAATCCCTCCGAATTTAGGGACGTCGCAAAATTTAGTAATTCCCCAGAATTCAGGGAATGGACAGAATGTAGGCACACAACAGATACCTCCAAATCTAGATCATAGGGGAAACTCAGATCATGGGAGATATGTATTCGATAAAGAATATCATCAATCTAATTTTTATTCTATCGAAAACATGGGTACCGGAATATTTAGTAATTCATTAGGGGTACTTAGACAGCAAATGGATGAGAGTAATTTTGAAATGGTGAACATGTTATCACAATAATTGACTACAGTCCTAAATCCATTAGTGCAAAACACTACTGCTAGTTTTGAGATATTAGCAGACCAAATGTCACGAATCGGGGATGCATTGGATGTGCCTCGACGAACAAGGGTAGAAAATCATGCTAACCAGAATACTAATATTAATCCCCCATATCTATTGAGAAGAAATAGAAACAATGATCAACAGCAGCATATGGGACATGAGTATCAACATGTGAGGAATGATATTTATGGGAATTTGAACGAAGGATTTCAAAATATACACAATCAGAATAATATGTTGGGACAAAGGATGAATTTACAAGGGATGGAATTTAGACCACCTAATCAGACATATTTTGTGTCTCCCTTTCCGAATGCGATTCTCGAGACAGAATTGCCTCGAGGATATAAAGTACCCAAATTCACTAAATTTGCTGGAGAAGTTGGTGAATCGACTATCGAGCATGTAGTTCGATATCAGATCGAATGTGGGGATTTAGCGATGAGTGAAGAATTAAAAATGAAATATTTTCCTAGTTCTTTGACTAAGAATGCTTTTACTTGGTTCACGTCATTGCCACCTAATTCGATATATAATTGGCTGCAATTGGAAAGAAATTTTCATGAACAATTTTTTAGAGGAGAAACTCAAGTGAGTCTCATCGACTTGATGAATATAAAAAGATACAATCATGAAAGCATAGATGATTATTTGAATCGATTTAGACAAATGAAATCGAGATGTTTCACTCAAATTCCTGAATATGAATTAGTCAGAATGGCCTCTGCAGGTTTAGAATTCTCGATTAGGAAAAAACTAGTCAATTTACCATTAAATGACATGGCTCAATTAGCTGATAAAGTGAGAAGAGTGGAACAAATCGAGTATGAGAAACAAAGGTATAAGAAATATGAGAAACCTCTAAAAAAGGAAAGAATAGCATACATAAATGATGTATATGAGACAGATAATATGACAGAAAGTGATATCGAAGAAACTGTCGATGAGAAAGTAAACTTAGCAGAACTCAAAGTAGGGGCTCCATATACCTGTAAATTGCTACAAAAGAATGAAGTAAAAGATAAAATGGCAAATCAAACATATACTTTTGATGTAACAAAAGCGGATAAAATCTTTGATATTTTATTGAAAGACAAACAGATTAAGTTGAGTGATGATCATAAACTGCCGTCTGCAGAACAAAGGAATGGTCGAAAATATTGCAAATTTCATAATGTGTATGGACATTGGACTAACAATTGTATACATTTCAGGAACACCATCCAAGATGCGATTGACCAAGGAAGGTTGAGGTTCGAAGAAATGACAATGAAAGTTGACACGAGTCCATTCGAGGCCCAAGTTGGATACCTCGAATCCCAAACAGGAATTACTGATGATGTCCGATTAACAAATTCGGCCTTTATAGGCATGATAGATGTCACTGAAGACATCGATCCTAAGCACGTTAGAATGGACGTGTCCGAAGAAGATATGAAATTTGACCTGAGTGAATTCGAGAGAGAGTTCGAAAAGGAAATATACCCTCGATCAGGAGATTCTCTCATTGAATTTTTGAATAGAAAAAAGGAAAAAGACGAAGATGTGTCATTATGCCCACGTTATAATGCAGTGTTCGATAAATCGGCTGCCAAAGCTTTCAGAACAGAACAGATGAAGAAGATCGAAATCCAAAATAAAAGGAAAAATGACAAAGTAGATCAAACAGTCCGACCAACGATCGAAGAAAGTCAGCAGAAATCCGTTGGCTCTGGTGTTAGTGAAAATCGGAGGCAGTGGATTAGAAGAGAGATGTATCCTTCTCGAGGAGGAAGAGGTAGACTTCAAAGTAATGATGTTTTCGAAAGACTCTCGTATGATGATGGATCGACCACTAGATTCCCAAGATTCCAAAGAAGATTCCGAGGAAGGCCCTGGAGAAGAGGAGGAAGGATCCCCTATTGGAATCATTACAGAAACTTTGGAGAAAATGGTGCACCAATAGAGAGTCATTATGCAAGAGAAATTTTCGATGACAAGAATGATGATACTTGGGACGAACATCAAATCGGGGTAATATCAATTTTACCTGCGGAATATGTGAGCGAATACAAAGAATACCAAGAAAAAAGAGATGCCGAGCGAGAAGATGACTTCTATTCAGAAAACATAAGGCCAAAAATAACATGGGTCACACAAACCTCATGTGAAGTTCCTCATAGAGACGCCGCTTTCATCGATCCCCCATCTCGAGGAAATGAGGTTC